GGGTATCTGTGATCCGTATACTATATTTAATAATATTTGGGCAGCCTTAGTGGGAGCTACCACTGCCACACACCAATGCACGACTGTCCTTTGTCGGCCTGTGGAACTCATCAATTTCACTCCTTTTTAAGATAAAAACACTCTTTGATGAATATGAACATAAATTTATTGAAATACAATTATTTCTTCAGTCATTCTTTTAAATTTAACTCTGATTTTATCATTCCACACTATTCAAGCATTCATGGATTGGACTATGTTACACCTTTGACTTCAATGCTATACAGAGATCAATTTGGTCATGAATAAATATTTAAGAGGCCAGAAACAGCCCAGAAAGACAATGTGTATATGACAGATCAGTGATAGAGATATACCATACACATCTGTGACTCAGTTTGCACCAAAAAATCCTGAAGTGATATTTCAAAAACAAAGATATAAATTACTTATACTTATTGAACCTTCCAAGCCATGTATAACACTGGGGTAAGTAGCTTGACTGGTATTTGATGCTTATCTGGCATCCAATCCTTAATAGTATGCATAAAGAGTGATAAAAAGGAGTAAAATTGGATTAATAGTGAAAATAAATTTAAAAATGCTTGCTTCCAAAGAATTTGGGGTGTTTTCACAGAATTTGAGGATGGGAGAAGTTTGACAAAGTATGAATTTCACTAATAACAGCTATAAAATACAATTTAGAACTTTTATAGTTGACTTTTCCCAATTTTGAAGACTTACATCATATCCAATTATGATGTTTGCTTTTTATGAAGATGCCAGTGATATTTTTATGAACTGAGGCTTGATCCTTTCATTCTCCACCATTATTAAAGAATGAGCTTCTACTGAAGTTCACGTAAGATATTACAGTGAATTTTATTATAACAAAATTCTCCTAAACGACAGCTTTCTAACGCATATTTTTTCATGGAAAATGGCAAAGAACTGACAAAGATAGATGGAGGGCTGGTCTGTGCCGCTATACCCACGGATATATCCGTACCGTGGCTTATCCAATCCGTGGGTGGGAAAATCCACGGATCGGGTACGGATAATACCCAGATGTATCCATGACAGTCCCTACTCCACGGAACCAAACACTGAATTTGAACGGTTAGACGCCATGTTTCGCAAATTTGGGAGGCTGTTCCTGAAGCAATTTCGATCAAGTAGAGCCCAAGAACGTAAAATTTGATCAAGATCTTACCTGCAAGTCTCAATTTCTGGTGATAGACCTCATTTCTCAGCAAAATCAAACGCCGACTTTAAACGATTAGGCGCTATGTTTCGAAAACTCGGGAGGTTGTTCCTAAAGCAATTCCGGTCAGGTAGAACCCAAGAACGTAAAAATCGAGTAAGAACTTACCTGTAAGCCTCAATTTCTGGCAATGGACCTTATTTCCCACAGAACTGCACGCCGACTTTGAACGGCTGGGTGCCACATTCCCAAAACTTGGGGGGTGGTTCCTGAGGCGATTTCGGTCGAGTAGAGCCCAAGGATGTAGAATATGAGTAAGAACTTACTTTGCTAGCTCAATTTCAGCTTATGAGCATCCTTTCACCACAAAGCCGTATGCCAAAATTGAACAGATGGGTGTTCCATTTCGTAAGCTCGGGAGGCGCTTCCTGTAGTAGTCACCGTCAAGTAAAGCCCAAAATCATAAAATTAGAGCCAGAACTCACGGAGTAAATCCATTTTTTGTCGGTTTTCCGGGAGGGTCAATGCTGGAAATAGCTATGCATGTGGAGCTGAGTGGAGGTGCAGTTCATGTATTTGATTCACAAGGCTTCTACTTGGTAATCTATTTTACAAGGTAAGGAAGAGGACAGCTATGTTAGTAGGAGCAGTGGCAACGGAAAGGGAATTAGCACACGAGAAAACAGTCAGGGTGGGCCAGGACAAGTGTTTGGTGGGAGGTGTGATTTCAGGACAAGTCGGGTCTCCCACCTGCCAAAAACTGTGATCCAAACTGTGATTTGATGCCTCTGTTTTGTGACTTGTCCCGCGAGAAACTGTGATTTGGGGTGAGATGCCCTGCAAAAAGTGTGATTTGCGGGACAAGTGTTGGCGTGGGCGGCTGTGATTTGGGTGTGATTCAAACTCCGAAATCACAACACTTGGCTTGAGACCGTCAGAGTAAGGTAGGCGGGAACTATATGACAGGATTTGAATTCGTGATTGATCCAATCGCTTCTCAAGACTATTTTGGGACCACTACCATTAGGTAATCTCCACTCTCCAGAACCTGATGACGCTTGAAATATAGCACAGATGTGATACAAAAATGCAAGTAGAGCGGATCACAAGAAATAACATGGAAAGGATTGTAAAAAGAGTGGAATTAGAGGGTGACAGTCTTTGAAAACGAGGGTCAGCATCCTCAGTCAACAAGTCAAACACGTACACACAAAGCCTCGGTGCTACGACAGCGCTTGCAGCGTTGGCGTAGGTTCCGCATGTAGATACAAGGTAGAGATACACTAACTCTACAAAATGATTGTCCAGTCATTTTTTGGACAAAGCTGGTGCTATAACACAAGAATCAAACACTTTGAGTACTAAGCTCTGGTCTATCAAATATAACTAAGGAGGTGTATATTGTACATACCAGGTTTGGGGATGAACAAATGAAAACTCAGGATAACGCAGGGCATTGACTGTGACACCTGCCAAAAATGGGATGTAACAAAATGGGAAATTCTGAATGACTGCAGCCTACTGAAAGCAATTCACAACTTGAGAAGGAGATATTTTGAACACTGGATCTCCCTGCTATTGTTATGAGTTTCATAAAGTCTGTGGGTTAGAAAATTTGATAATCTCCTCTAAAAGGTAAATTGAACTTGTTCTCCATTTTATGTATTTTTCACTCAATATATTTGTTGGAATGAGGTAAAATGACTCCGTATTGATGTTTGTAGTGTGTATAATACAAAAGGTAGGTAGGAGTATTAAAATGAACATTGCATGATGTCTGTAGAAGCTAATTCCCAGAGTTTTTCTGGAAGTAAACAAGTGTCTACAACATTGGTCCTTCTTTTCTGCAAGAAGAAAAAATGCTACCATCCTTTTGAATTGATCCATGGAGACTCAAGATGTCTTTTAAACAATGCCTGAAGTATAGCACAATAGCAAATAAATTTACACTGGGTATGACATGAAAAGTCCTCAATCAAAGTACATTTTGCATAGGGCAATCATCCTGGACCAATCCTTAACATTTTTCTTGGTGAATTGGGGCTGAAAATATTTCACAAGGCACTTCTCATGCCTAGTAACACTATCCCAAAGAAATAAACAGAAGTCCTATTTATACAAGGATCTGAGACCCCACACCTTTCTTGCTCTATGCAAAATGTACTTTTATTGAGGACTTCTCAAGTTATACCCAGTGTAAATTTATTTGCTATCATGCTATACTTCAGGAATTGTTTAAAAGACATCCTGAGTCTCCATGAATCAATTCAAAAGAATGGTAGCATTTTTTCTTCTTGCAGAAAAGAAGGACCAATGTTGTAGACACTTGTTTACTTCCAGAAAAACTCTGGGAATTAGCTTCTACAGACATCATGCAATGTTCATTTTAATACTCCTACCTACCTTTTGTATTATACACACTACAAACATCAATACGGAGTCATTTTACCTCATTCCAACAAATATATTGAGTGAAAAATACATAAAATGGAGAACAAGTTCAATTTACCTTTTAGAGGAGATTATCAAATTTTCTAACCCACAGACTTTATGAAACTCATAACAATAGCAGGGAGATCCAGTGTTCAAAATATCTCCTTCTCAAGTTGTGAATTGCTTTCAGTAGGCTGCAGTCATTCAGAATTTCCCATTTTGTTACATCCCATTTTTGGCAGGTGTCACAGTCAATGCCCTGCGTTATCCTGAGTTTTCATTTGTTCATCCCCAAACCTGGTATGTACAATATACACCTCCTTAGTTATATTTGATAGACCAGAGCTTAGTACTCAAAGTGTTTGATTCTTGTGTTATAGCACCAGCTTTGTCCAAAAAATGACTGGACAATCATTTTGTAGAGTTAGTGTATATGGCTGATTAGTTTCCTTCAACTTTGACATTCTTGGATGTATAGAATTTTCCAGATCCTTCTCAGAAAATAAAAACCAAAATAGAGCATATTTGTGACTCCTGGTCAACTGCCAGTGAATGGGGAAGTGAATGGGAGTACAAGATTCGGTCCGCTGGAGAGCAGAAAAATCGGCTGAACTCGCATGGTCGAGGACCTTATATTATTATATCCGACACAGAACAGTACCAGAATATATGTATTTATGATATTTAGTAGGCTTTGGAGGCTGGCACCCCGTAAATAAAAACAATGCTTCTATATTGACGTTTTTTTTTCTGGATTTTTATGTTCCAAGCTGTCTGCCATTGGTAGCATCCACCTTGCATCCACTGTAAAAAAAAAAAGACTACTGAAGAAATCTTCATTGACTTGTTTTTATGCTAAGTCATTCCTTTTGTCGCGGAGCATAGCCTTCGGATTCTATTACAAAAATGATAAAATTTAAAGGAGCATACATAGTTTCCATAGCATATTAGCATGTAAGTATGATAATGTTGAGTTTGTGCATCGTGTCGCAACTCTCATATGAGACTTGCAAGTCAATGACTGTCCAATTAAGTATTATCATTATTAATTTGGAGGTTCACCTGCAAGTTTATCCATACTACTAAAAACCATTTTTACTGTCTTTGAACAGCCTTGGTTGTTGAAATATTATCGAATCCTGAGCAAGAGAAATAAGATTCGGCAGATCCCAGCAGCGGAAATTGAATTCTCATTGGTGAAATGCGTGCGTCGGAAATCAAAATTCTGCCATATACATAGTTCCCGCCAACGCTAGTCAGAGCCAAGAGGCATTGGACCGGTGACCCGGACCGGATACTTGCTCTACGCGACCCTCACTTTCCGATCGCTTCCATCGCCCTCTCTTGAGCTGCACCAGTCAACATGGCCCAAGCGGACCTCAAATCTCGCACTCGTGCAGAATACCTCTACTTCCTGGACTACCGCACACGATGGTGAGGATTCTCCTTCTCTCCCTGACAATGACCCGAGTTCACGTTTACAGTAACGAAGGAGCGACAACGACCAATATGCACACATGAATAACTCAGTTTACTACCACCTCTTCGATTCTATAATAAACACGTATCTCATTGAGAAATGTGGCCAAAGCCCGACGAGTTCGCCTCTAATTGGGTTGGTGGTGTCGTCGTTTTGTCAGGTACGTGTTTTACACTGAAGCAGTACCATGCACTGACAATCACGTAGTTCTTTGCCCCCCTGTCTTTTCCAGAAGTCCTTCACCTCGGATTACGCGTCACCAAGCTTGGCTTGTCGTCGGTGTCCTACGAAGTAGGCATCTTCAAGGAGGGTGAAGATTCGCCTGCCGCGGTGGGTGGGTACACGCACGTATTTGTTGAGAGTCAGTCGAGGAGGAGCACTCCAATGGGGCAGAACCTCAAGAATGGGCTGGGGGCGCTTCTGGCTGGTGAAGGCGAGGGGACTGTGAAAGGGAAACTTTAACGTTTGGTGTGGTTTCAAGTACGTTAATGTATCTTGCTGAATAAGTGCCTTTACCTCCCTTATCGAGCCATCGAAAAACATTCGAATAAGCTTGAAGTGTTGGGTTTGACTCGCAAAACGAACGAGTACAGCTGCTTTATATACAGACACTGGAATCGAATCCCGGTCGCAAGCATCTGCCATAGCGAAGGGACTTTGATCGAACGAATACAAGTCAACTTTAGAGCGGAAAGAACTCAGTGGAATCCATGTATACAAGGCCCTAGTAAGTTGCTCATGGGTAATTCGACTCTACGAACTTGACCTGCTCGTTACCAGAAATTTCTCGACCTCTCTTACTCAATTGGAAAACCTCCTGTAAGGCAGCGATCGTCCACTAACTCCCCCAACTTACTGAAGCTCGTCAGGTGCGGTCATGTTTCGGCCTTTTTCTAAGAGATCTATCACGCAGGCTATAGCTTTTTCAGACAGTGCTATAAACGCCCGTCAGCCTCTCCTTCAGCAAGTCCTTTGAGATAATCTCGTCCTTCTTCGCTTCCAACTCCAGAACATCCCAGTTGCAAGATGCGTACCTCCCATCTAAGTACGCAGCGCGCTCCGAACAGACATAGACGGCAAAGATTCCAGGAAGCCCAACTAAAGGAAGCGTGAATCAAGGAGGGGATTGAGCGAGTAGGGATTTCTAACCTTTATCCTGGGCAAAGTGCGCAAAGTCGCTCATGTCCGCCACTATAGAGGACATGACGCTACCAGGATGGAATGCAACAACCTGCACGTTTGGATGTTCCGAGGATACTAGCTCCGTGAAGCGATGGACAGCAAGCTTGGACACGATGTAACTGCTAGCGCTGGGTACCACCATCTCCGCAGCGTAAGACCCCACATTGCCGATAAAGCCTCGCTTGTCGGCGGGCAGGAGGCGGAGGTACGCTTGAGTGACGAGAAACGTTCCTTTGACGTTTACTTCCTATGAATGAAAAATGATCAACGTCTTCGGGCGGGCCAAGGGAAGAAAAAACGCACCATGTCGCTCCACCACTTATTGACGTCGATATCCTTAACGAGACCTCGTCCGCCGATCCCAGCATTGTTGACGAGGATGTCAACGTGGCCAAATGCATCTTTCACTGTCCTTTCGAGAGCGCTGACAGCCTCTGGCAAGGTTGTGTCGACGCTCACCACCAAGACCTTGGCTTTGCTGTTTATCTTCAGAATTTCCGCTTTCGTTTCCTCCAGCTTCTGCACGTTCCGTGCGGCTAGGACCAAGCCGGACGCACCTGCCTTGGCAAAGGCTAATGCGATTCCCTTTATAACAAAAATGGGAACGTTAGAGTCTTGAAAACTCAGATCTAACTGGAACACACCTTCCCAATGCCCTGACTCGCTCCAGTGATAAGAACCGTTTTACCAACTTGTGAATCGGAAACGACATCCTGAAGAACGGGGTAGACATCTCGATGATTCGTCTCCGTGAATTGGTAGCGGTGCAAGAAATAGTCGGAAGGCAAGCTCGTAGTCGACATTGTAGGTTAGACGATGCTATCTGGATTGCGGGTTATGGGTTATTTATACCTTGTCTCACCCATCTGCCGAAGCCGCGTAGCGCAGGCTTGAGACGAATAAGCAGTAGGCGGCAATGCCACGCGTACGTCCATAACATCCATGCACATGTACATGATGTACCGTTTTTCCTGAAAGTGAATAGCCGAGTAAGGCGATTACGAGGTTCAGCTCTTCTCATCTTGAGGTCCCTTGTAGATTGGCATACTCCGGGGCCGTATTTACAGTGCCTTGCATAATGCTTTGCAGCGTGAATTTTTCAAAATTGTATTTGGCTGTATTTAAACTGGACCTGAGATGTCACAATTAGGCCTATTTCGGACAGGAATCATCTCGTTGGGCCTTGGTTGTGACATCTCAGGTTCACTACAAATATGATCAAATACGATTTGAAAAAATTCGTGCTGCAAAGTATTATGCAAGACACTGTAAACAACGACTCCGCCATTGAAGCCAGGAAACGTCGACCTGTTGTAGCCTGTTGTCTCAAAGCAGAATTTCGGACAAATGGTCACTGCCGGTCACACCCTCGGCGGACGACGAATGTGAGCAAACAAGTATACTCCTATTATATGGAAAGCAAGACTGATCTGCTCGGAATTCTCGGTTGCCGATTGATGGCCGCATATTTGCTAAGTAATATAATTGATTCGTGGTATTTGTACCATAATTATGCAATCTGCAATGAAGAATTTCACGGAGCCATCGCCCAAGTCTTGCCGTCTAACATCCATCAAGTATTGGCACTGTCGGAACACATATCATTACTGGGTATCTTATTAATTTAAAGAATATCAGTAATTCTGCAATGTAATTACAGATTTAAATCAACTTACTTGATGTTCCCAAGATGTTTCAGGCTCAAATTGACAAAATACACCAACACTGAGGCACATTTGCACATACTTCCTTGAAGAAACATCACACAATGATCCTCCAACCAACCTCCAAGCATTAGCATCTTGAGTGCATGGCTATGTCAGTGCTAAAGTAGTTTTGCTGCATCCAATACACTACAATGCTTCCAGGTGCAACAAAGCCCACCCTATAGCCTCACACAGCTCTCAGATGACAGTAGACTAGCCTCCAATCATGGAATGGCATCTGGTGGCATCTCAGACCATGCAGGGATGGTTGTGCTTGTGAAAGCAGAGTAATTTTGTCACTGCCAAAGTCCCAAGATGAGTATGATTTTGTGCAAATTTTCATGCAGACTCATTGTGATCTTGCACCTTTTGAATCAATTTGTGGCTGACTCAGAAAGAGGTATTCAGGAAATATTCAGAAAAGGATGTGAGGCTTCTCCCCACATAATTTTGAATAGACACACTCACAACTTCACATACTTTCTATTAGCAATGCCATCTTGCACATGATGTTGTGGTAACTAGTTTATCAAACAAACTGGGTGGATGGCATTAGTGCCGTTCACAGTTACTGTTTTTGAATCATTTTTCATCTCATTTCTCATCTCGTTTTTCTGAAAAATAGAATCAAAAACGGGCAAAGAAACACATCAAAAATGATCCCAAAAATGCCATTTTTCAAAAACAGCCATTGTGTCCATTTTTGATGTGTTTCTGTTTTTCATCCATTTTTCATCCATTTTTTGTGTTCAGGTTTCAAGTTGCTGAAGGGCGTTTCAGTGTTGTCTGTTCTTTTTCTTTTTTCCCGATATGACAACCACTTTATTCTATTCACCGTTTGCACTGCAGAATGAGCAAAAAAATCAAAATAAATTACTCTTAATAGACTGAAAACCAATTAGTTGAGGCTCAGGGAAGAATTGCAGCTGACAGATACTATTGGAGAAATGATAAGATAAGGTGGGGTCTGCAACAAGGTGCAGGGTTCAAGGCTGCCAGGGTGCCGAAAAATGGGCTGTTCCATTTTTCACTCATTTTTTATCTCATTTTCGAAAATTTCAAGGAGGGCAGGTTCACAGTAGCCATTTTTCACTTCATTTTTCACTTCATTTTTGATGTTCTATGTCTACAAAAATGAACAAAAAATGAATCAAAAATGGCTACCATGAGCACCCCTATGCAAGAAATTGTGGGCATTGTTGTTGCAGCAAACAACTGCCTCCAAGTTATCATGAAACTCCCCAACACCCAGTGTTGTTTGTGATAATTTATTTGATGATAGGACACTGTGATGTGCCCCAGAAGACTTGATCACATTCTATATGTTGATTGGTCCACCTGATTGAGAAGTGAAAGAAGGAATTTTAAACCTCAAGATGAAATCAATTACCATTGGACTGGATGTAAACATGAGAGACATTGCTGAACTGGTGAGTCTTGTTCCTCAGTCACTTTTGATAAATAACCCACTCTCCTGCAGGATTTCCTGGGGTGGGGATCATACTTCCATTGAAGAGACCTTCAAGAAAATAATGCATATTTTTTACAGGCAGAATAGACCACAACAAGATAGTAAATTTCTTTAGTCTTTTCCAGTGAATGGCAAAATGGGTGATGGACTCATCATCCGCCACAGAAGAAAGATTATTTATATATAATTCATGTGACTAGATTCAATGCTGGCTGAAGAAAACAGTGCCGCATAGAAATGCAAGTTGTACCCTTAAATTAACTTGTCAGGAAAAATCACAAGGACACTCATATAACTGTCAAGCCCTGGGATGAATTGAAGTGGAATATCAGACGAGCAAGCAAGGCCATGATGTAATTTGCCTGTTACATGATGAAGGCATCAAGTAGACCATGAAGAAAGGCACTTGAACAACATAGCTGTATATTATGTAATTGTGGTGCAAATACCACAAATCAATTATATTACTTAGCAAATATGCGGCCATCAATCGGCAACCGAGAATTCCGAGCAGATCAGTCTTGCTTTCCATACTATTATCACTTGTACCACACATATGATCTAACAAGAAACTCTAGACACATCCAAAGCACGACAGCACGAACAAATCGACAATTTAGATGCCTTGTTGACGCCTGCTTGGTTCTGCTTAAGAGTCCTTACGTAAAATCTACAACATGACTTGCAACTATGATGATTGGCGGAGTAAGTACACAGGAATCACGAACTGATGACCTCGATAGGCTTGGCTGTCGGTACGCAGAGGCGGGGAAATGATTCTGAAACAATTACGGTAATGGAGGAGGTGAAATTCCCCACCTTTTCTTGCTGCATTTCTTACTGATTCCTTCCATTGCGGTTGAATTCGCATCCACAGACATGCTCGTGGCACAGTCTCCCGGGACTTCTGCTCTGGATGCTCAAAGTTTCATATGAAATGGGCTAGTCTGCTCTCAGAATCTGTAGGCTGAGTTCAAATGCTCACATGTACGTGCTACGTATCTATCGTTTCTATGACATACTTACGCCCAATCGGTCCGTCTAGCTGCGAGGCTGTACTTTTGTGACAGGCGTTTCTTGTATACGAGTCATACTATCACTGAAGAATCCCATCCCATATTTATCATCGAAGCTGGCGGAATGGCAAAGCACTCGTATCAGCATTCATCGTGACGTGAAAGAGAAATGGGACGTACTGGTGACTGACTCTTTCATGGCCAGCGGTCCTCCAATGCAAATCAATTTGCCAGCTCCGGGAATCGGCATATGTCTCTTGATCATCTCATCAGTCGCCCTCCCTGTCGAATACCGCCACCCTTTGGGTGGGGTGCCAGTCAACGTATGGTGAAGGCGGAGCCTTGAATTGTGTTCCAACGCAAATTGATCGAGCTCCTCACGGCAAAGGATGTCGTCAACGGAACGATTGACATCCAGAACCCAGACTCTGACGTCCTTGCTCAGTGGGTCGCTAAATATTCCACGGAGCGCTTGAATAACAGGTGTAATTCCGGTCCCCGCGCAAATCATTCCGACCTCTCTGATCTGATATTCCTTACCATGCATCACGGCCATCCCTTGTCCTTTCCACGTAAAGTTTCCAGTTGGGCCTTTGACCTCCACTTCGTCGCCTACAGAAAGCCTATCGATCTCCATCGTCATGCGACCGCCCAGTGGGCTTCTGCTCGTCGGCCGATAAATTCTATCTCAAGTCAGTTCCTCGGAGTTTCCTACAAGTATGAGCCTTACCTAACCAGTAGTTCCATGAAACCTCTAGCGTCTCTCTGAATCATGGGCGTGTAAGTCCTTTGTATCAGCTCCCCTTCACGATCATTGGAATTCTTTGCTTTAGTCCGCAAACGTAGGTATATGTGTTGGCCGAATGGTAAGCCTAGCGGTTGTTCTGGATCAGGCAGAGCGAAGCGGATACGCTTGGCTTCTCCTGGCAAGCATTCAATGCTACAGACCACGACTTTCTTCCAAACTCGGGGATTAAGAAATCCTTGGGAGTCGTTATCTGAGATGTTGACTTGCGGAACCATTTTGTATGGCTCGACGAGTGTCCCGATGTGGAATTCTGCGAGCTTCTTTTTGGCGTCGGAACTGTGAATCGCCATAAAATCTTCAGTTGCATCTTCTCCAGCGACAAGCATGATGGCCTCCGCCCCGCCAGGATGTTCCTTGAAATAACCACTGCCATCATAAACCTACTCGCAGCATAATTGGGAACAGCTCTAGGGAAAAAGTAGTCACTTACCTCCCCGCGCACCACGAACCAGGCTTTCTGCTTGGCCTCCGCCGTCGTCAAGTCCTCCATTCGGATTTTCCGCTTGATATTCGGTTTGGTCATGATTACATCTGGCGCTTGCTCTATCCCTTTCGCAATGGAATATATTCCCGACTCTTGACGCATAAAAAATTTGGGCTTCGAAGGATCCAACCCATCGTCTTTCAATCTCCGCATCCAGCCGCCTTCCTGCCTTCCCGCCACTGAAACGAAAATCAGTCCATAAGCGCGCGCTAGTGATTTGGGGAATAGATAGATACTCGTTGGATGCTCGAATTGAAGCTTTCCGTCTTCAATTTGACAGACGCGAACACGAAACCACCTTTACGACCAAAGGTTCAAACGATGTCCCTTCCATGACAATCTGAACTCACCAATTATTCATCATTCCAGTCGCATTCCAATACATGTCGCGAGGCTGAAGAGCGAGCGATTCATCCATGCATCTCACCATGACCACATCGCTTCCTCTCAATATCTCTATATTCATATCAAAAGTCCAAAAGCACCAACAGAAGCAGAGGTCAGATTCAGTCAAATCCAACCGACCATATACGGAATCGGAATATGCAACATCACGGAAGAGATCTTCAGGATAGGTGATTTTCGCAACGTTCCATGAGTCCCCATCGTCCCAAGAGATTTCGACGCGTGAAACACGACGGCCACCGCCGGCGTAAGCGTATCCCTTGAGTTGATACGTTGCATCCGGCGGCATGTCGGATGGGTCTAAAACCTCGTTGTGGTCTGGGCGTGCGATCGCACTATTGGGATTCAACTCGCGAATGATATATCTTGGATGTTTCATCAGGCCTAAATTCTCGAGAACAGCTGACTCTGAGCAAACCTTGGGTCATACCACCAGTTCTTTTCCGCTCGCGCTTTCTCAGGTCCTACGGGCGTCGGCAAAACTTTGTTATCGTGGAAATGAAGGTGATGTTGACTCTCCGTCTTCGATATTTCGATGCGAGAGAGCCATTTTACTGACCTCCCGCCAATCTGGCCAGGGACCACGAGTCGAAGCGGAAACCCATGGTCAGGCTCGAGTCTTGAGGCCGGATAATTATAGGACGACTCTTCAACTGAAAACAAAATGAACTTACGGAAGACCATTCATCGCCCAGGATAGCAGCATTGCCTTCCCCTTATCCCGAGCCCAGGAGAGTAGTTGACTGAAAAAGCAAACGACGGTTAGGAATGTGGAAACTAAAACGGGTATGGCTCCATACCTTGTTCCATAGGGTCCATTGGGAAGCTCGTCGCTCCCTTCAAAGATGACATGCTTCGCAGGCTTGGTCGGATGAACATGTTCCAACACGTCAGATAGATACACGCCAGTAAAGAGCGCTGTGGAGAGGCCGCCCGCTCCCCAATTAAATCCTAGCGACTGTTGGACAATATTTTGTTCCTTTCGACGATTTCCAGCACAAACCAATGTTACTGGGATGGTTACGACTTGAAACTTTGTTCGCAAATCTTTCAGAGTCAATGTCGCCGGCTTTGCGCATAACCTTCCCAAGCAGACGTTAGTTGTACGTATCCATTGAGAGGGACCTAAAACTCACCCGTGTATCCTCAGCTCCCATTTTTCCGCCCTGTCCTGATTAACCACAGGAACAGCACCGTGATTCCTGACATAAAACAGGTTGCTAGGCGTGAAAAATCCTGCACTGTACAGATCCCTGAGTTTCGCTTCCGCGTTGAATGGATGTTTTCCCGTCAACCGGACGAGCCGAGGATCACGGGGAATCCAACCATCCGCAGATCCTCTTCACGGAATGAATCAAAATATGAGATAGGGAGAAACTGAAAAAAGTACATATCCTGAGTGTCTATCGTAGAAGACGCTACCTCCAGCGGCAATGATGGAAATTTGAACTGTGGGGGCAGGCTTCGAGGTCCATTTTGTTGGGCTAATGATGGAGGGAAGAACGGCGTGTGGAGGTTTACGCTCAATGGTTCAAAAGGTATCTTCTCCTCTAGCATTTTGTCGTAGTACTGGAAGGAATGACCTGGGATGCACAAATTTATAGAATACTAGTATCTTTATCAATCAAGCTGCCCTCCTCAATGCGGCACCGTTCCTCCTCTATGCCGTGATACCTCAAAAATCTCCAATTTTCCCAACAATCTCTCCCCATACATCACAGCGGACTTTCTCAGCGCCCTTAAGTCCTATCTCGATCGCCTCAAAGATCTTCTCCGTTAGATGATCCTGTCACCTCATTCTCTATCTTTCCCCGAGTGAGTACGTTTCCCAATCAGTGATTGACATGACCTCCAGCGCCTTCATCAATGAGGCGCTTCGGATAAGGCTTATCTAAGGCTTATCTCCTTATCACTTATCATACGGTGTAGTTGGAATTTGGCGACGGTCCGATACGTTGCACGAGTGGATTGGCATGAAAAACAATAAATCATGGGGTCATTGTGGTGCATGAACAACATATCACTTATCATACGGTGTAGTTAGAATTTGACGACGGTCCGATGCGTTGCACGGGTGGATTGGCATTAAAAAAATGAGGTCATTGTGTGCATGAACAAGCGATGAAGGCATAAAGAGGCGAGAGTGCACCTAATAGGCGGGAACTGGGATAGGTAACAGGAGCACATTTATAACAACGGAGATAATTCCCATAATCCAAAAACCCTTTCCTGCGACAGTTTGAAACCTGAAAACCAAAGTGAAAATGACTCCTCCTAGGGTACCAAAAGACCCAGCCAGACCAGACATGACGCCCTACAGAGTTTCGATCAAATGTCCTAAGCCATCATGTAAATATCAGACTGACATTGTTGTAGACATTGCAGTGGGGCACCAGAGCAAAGTTTGCGCCGTTTCCGAGTTCAGAGAAGATCACAGCCAGGGAGAAGACTCCCATAATTGTAGCCACTGTACGGGGGTTCAGTGCGACAACAAAACATAAACCGACGGGAGCCTTACATGATGGAGATTTTGTAGGGGTATGATGATCCTCGATATACAATCCCCCTGCGATCAAAGCTGCGCCCATGATTAGACCACAGAGGAGTGTCCAGACCTTTTTTCCCCGAGTGCCGAATGATCGATAAAGAAGATCCCCAACGTACCCGCCTAGCGGTCTCGTAACAAGGTTGAGAAAGCCGCTTGAAAATAATTTTAACAAAAAAGCGAGGGTTCGAAATTAGGCGACTCACAAGATTGAAGTGTAATACCCCGCCGTCGTTTGGCTGAAGCCAGGAATGTTTTTACTGTATAAGCCGAAGAGAACATTGGACATCTGGCTGTCAATTGCTAATTCGACTCCGAAAGTCGTCAAGTATGCCAGGGCAGGTAACCACGTCACCGGACTCGCCAAAATTTTCAATGCTGCCTTGATCGTAAGTCGCTCGTTAACGGCAACATCGATAGAAGCAATCTTCTGGACAGGATGGACGGTCACGGAAGTGTCGCGCACCCCCTTTTCATCGAGCTTCTCGTCGCTGCCATCATGATCGTCATGTCCTTGCTCAACAGCTATTTCTGTAGCGGGAACGTTGTGGCGTTCGGTCCATTTTCCCGCAGGGTGATCTGTTCCATATATCAGGGTCAAGACAGCGACGAAGATCAAAACAGGAGCGCTGAGGCAGATGATGTCAGATGAATGTCCCGCATTGCAATTTGTATCTTTGTGGTACGCACGGGACTATAGCAAAAGACGCCCGCCAAGCTATGTGCTGGGATAAACCGCGGGCCCTCAGACTTTGGTAAAGCGAAGTCATGATTGCGAAAGTCGCCCCACCGCTACGATGACGAGATTAGCAGATTAGTCAGCTCAAGCGGTCAACAAGCGGTCATAGACCAACCCCATATTTCCTACTCGCATAAATGCATCAGCCGGTGACAAACATCTCAAAGAACGGACACATACCCCATCCTCCAACCAGAGCATTTGCGGTTCCCACGCAATTCTTGTCAAAGAAGGACGAAGTCCAGGCCTGGCATGGGACAAATGTCGCACCCAAAAGCCCTATGAAAAAGCGCAACACGTAAAGCGAAGATGCGTTGTGCGCAGTTCCCGCAAGGCCAGAAGGTATTGCGCCGAGAATCAAGATTGCCGCCATGACCTTCCTTGGCCCATACTGGTCGACAAGAGGGCCGACGAATAACCGTACGGCCAGTGTCGCGACCAATGCAACGATGTTGGAGTTCGCAACTTGGGCCGCGGATAGATGGAGGTCTGACTTGATCGCGTCCGGGATAAGCGGTGGAAATGCAAACCACGAAAGGAAAGCGACAAAAAACCCAACTTTTAAGACGAAAGAATAAATAAGGAGCTCAAGAACATCAGCATTTTGGAGACGCACGCCAACTGAGATGGAATGCCCGTCCATATGGGTCCATGAGATTGAATATTGGGATGGTGTAGCTTTTGAGGTTTATTGGGTTAATAATTGCCGGTCGCCAAAGGTGGGACCATTGGAACGGGGGAGCCTCCCGTGCTGTCTCGTGGATCATACTTTGCTCAGAACCGTCAAGGGCAAAAGTTGGCAACGGATAACAGAAATGGTGGGATTTAAATGCCTGCTCACTGACTCAGGGAGAAAGAGGGCTTTGAGATCTGAATCTGAGGCCTTCGTGTTTCCCAGTGTGGCTCCAATTCGACTCCATGAGAGGTTTTGTATCTCAATAGGATGGTATTTCAAACCTAAGCCAAGGAACGTCGTTTGATAAGGCCGTCAGGGCGGGGACCAGATAACGTTACAATGTGTCGATAAAGAAACCGCCGATGGGTCTGGTCGATCGGAGATCATATCATCATCCCTCATATCTTGCCCACCCTGATCCCGCTATCTAGGGGGTGTCGGTTGAAGCATTCGGAAGCGAGCTTGGGAGGCCGATATCTTGAGAACCCCAATCTTCGTTCACAGAGCCTAGACGTGCTGCCGCGCATGTCGTTTTAAAACTATATTTCTCAAGCAACAAAGGAATAAGCTGTCGTTCTGCCCCTGCCATGAAACGTTAAGACAAATATACATGGAAGGAGAGAGCGCCTGAAATTTAATAAGTCAGAAGATGTGCATGGAGAGAGTGGAAACTACACTTACCGGAAGCAAAGAATGCTTACTCTTCGTCGCATTCAACGTTCAGCCCAATCCATGCGTCGAGATCCGCCCATATATCATCTTGTTTCGTCTCCAACATCTGCTTCATGGCTATGACGCAGGACTCGCAATAATTTTTGAGTTTCAGATCTATTTTCATGAGCTCTTGTATGCCGCAAATGGGGTCGAATTCATATTTGGGTAAAACAGAGGCACGGAGCTCTAAGAGGAGTCGAGACCTATGTTCGCATCGCGCCGGTTTCTGGGTGCATCGCGCCGTGAGTGCGAATACAGTATCGTGCCAGGCCGTCCCGAGGTACTTTGAAACCTTCAAGAGACGAACGAGGTCACCAGGATGGAGCTTCTCGAGTGCTTCGTCCGGATCATCTTGGGATAGAGGGTGAGAAATGCAGGCTAGTCGAACAACCCCAACCCACTCACCTTCATCATTGCTTTCTTTTTCATCCTCAGGAGCGGGTTCTTCGAGAGAGTGCTCCATCCTCGCCAGCTCGTAAAAGGCACGTTTCAGAACTTTCGGGATATTCCAGTTTCGCCCAAGAACGACGGCTTCGGCAGCAAATGGAATTTCTGCGACGGTTATGTCGCCTACGTCATCGGAGAATTGTTCAGTGATCACTCTCTCGGCAAACTCGAGATACTTTTTGAATTGAAGACGATCCGCCACACGGAAAATTGATGCAATGACTGGGAAATGGGGGGTGTCGTGATAGTAGCATCTGACAACGGTCAGAAAGATAAACGCGAAGACGCACTGGTGACAACTCACATGCCGTCATCCATGGCCGTCAACAAGGCGTCAAAATCATCACGCGCCACCCCTGTTGAATTGAGGTGAAACAGATCCAACCCATCGACACATTCAACCGTTAGAAGGACGTCATTGATATTTTCCTTATCTTCGTCGCCCTCGGCCGCCTCCTTCCCACTATGTTGCTCAAACAATTTCTCGAACCAGGTCGACTGGGACGCCAATCGACTTCTCTGGACTTTGTATCGCGTAGTCTCGATTTGAAGGAGGATGTTCCCATCCAACAACCAGAACTTTGAGTGTTTCGTATAGGAGGGCTGAAGCCTTTTGGAGCCCTTGTCATTACTTAAATTCAGCTCTTCTTCTTCACGTTTCCGTTTTCCACCGTTTGGCGAATCTTCCAGGTCAGGGGCATCCACCATGGTAGTATCCTGCTCCAATGATGTTGAAGGCGACTCTACAAATCCTTGACATAAGGGTTTTTCGAGGCTTTTCAGAGAAGTATTCACCAGGCTTTTGGCTCCGACGACGCGACATAATCCGGGCAGACTGTAGATGGTGAACGTTGACGTTGAACGGAGTTGCGGAAAAAATTCAGTTGGTTACGGTGGTCACATCCACGTGACGTGACCGAGGGCGACAGTTGAATCAGACATGGTCTTGACGAACGTCAAGCTCTTTCTGTACGTTTCGTTATCTCTCGTAGCACGTGATCCGGTAGATGTAGGACAATTTTCATCTTCCTGGAGTTCACCTTTACTCTCGTGAACTCCAGGTGCGTAGTCTACATTATATCTTTTTCTACTACTTACAATATATACCTTTACTCTCGTGAACTCCAGTGCCTGCCCTCGGCCGTTCCACTCGCATTCGGATTGTGCGTGCGTCAGGTTATGGGCCCCGGCAGCGGATCAGTCGAAATGTCGACTTCACCAACCAAAGCCTTCAAGTTCGCCAAACTCAACGGCGAAAACTATGCGCTGTGGTTCCAACACATGCAGTCTTCGCTCCAGGCACATTATCTCTGGCTGATCGTCACCGGAGATGAACCCTGCCCCACGAAGCACTCAGACACACAGCCTACGGAACCGACGGCGCTCACAGCTTGGAAGGCGACGAAGAAGGAGTGGCTCGATTGGTCGCTGAGGGATCAGGCAGCTCAGGGGTTGATGAAGGGAGCGGCGGAGCCGTCGCAATGGCCCCATATTGCGCAGATGAAAACTTCGAAGGAGATGTGGGACGCATGGAAGAAGATGTACGTCACCAACCAGCAACACATCAACGTACACTACTACTTCGAAGACCTCTATACGCGCAAATACGACGAGTCGACGTCGATGGCCGACCACATTGCGGCTATGCTCGATCTTGGCCTCAAGATCAAGGCGGCGGGTGAGGAAATTCCTGATATCCACATCGCGCGCGCCCTCGTCCTCTCCCTCCCTCGAACTCAAACATGGGAACTCGTCAAAGTTCAGCTCTTCAACAAGGACAAGCTCACCTCAGAAATTGTTTCGACGGAGCTTCAAGCTACGGCTAATCGGACTGCTCATGAGAAAAAGAGCGAGACCGCATTCCTTGCTGGAAAGAAGCAGGCTTCTGGGAAAGGTGACTCCAAAAAGAAGGGAGGCCGAGGCCCGAAGGCCGACGATGAGTGTCGCTACTGTCACAAGAAAGGGCATTGGATCAACAAGTGCCCTCAGCATGAGGAGGACGAGAAGAAGAACAACGGGGGTTCGGTCAACCTCGCTGTTTCCAACCTGCGGGATCTTGGAGCTCGTGAAATCGGTTGGGTGTTTATGGCTGGGGTCAATGTGAAGGAGTCTGGTATCAGCACTGAGTTGATTCTCGATTGCGGCGCCACCTCCCACATGTTTTGTGACCGCCACTTCTTTACCTCATACACACCGATGTCTACCCCCGAGTCCATATCCGTTGGTGATCGCCGTGACATTCCTGTTGCAGGCCGCGGTACCATCTGCTTCCAGGCTCGGTTGCCAGATGGGTATCGTTCTATATCCCTTCACAGTGCTCTCCACGTCCCCAAGCTCGCCGCCAACCTCATCAGTCTTGGGACTTTACAACGGCAGGGTGTGGGTTTTAGCAGCTATCAGAATGGGATCGTGATCAAGTTGGGAGAGGAAGAGCTTTTCCGTGCATCGTTCATTGATAAGTCAGACACTCTGTACCACGTCGAGGTTGCCCAAATGCAAACTGAGTCTGCCTATGTTGCCACCAGTGGGAGTCTTCGTCTCTGGCACCGTCGCCTTGGCCATATCAGTCTGGACACAATTCGGAGAATGCACCGGAAGAACATGGTGGAAGGCTTGTCCATCAACTCGCTCAACCAATATGATCATCTTTGCGAGGGGTGTGCCCTCGGCAAATCACATCGACTTCAATTCCCAAAAGCAAGCACCACCAAATATGAGCTGATGGACCTCATCGTTCTCGACCTCACTGGGCCCATGTCGGTTCAAACTTGGGGAGGGGCCTCTTATGCCCTTGTCATTGTCGAAGTCAGCTGTCGAAAGCCAGTTGGTCGTCTTCTGCATTCCAAGAAGGAGGCCTATGCAGCGCTACGGGAAGTTGTTGCCATGTTAGAGAGACAGTCAGGGAAGAAGCTGAAAAGGATGAGAGCGGACAGCGGGACGGAGTTTGTGAACGAACTCGTGAATACGTTCTGTCAGAAGAATGGGATTGTCTTGGAGACGACAGTCCCTTACACTCCTGAGCAGAACGGGATTGCAGAGCGCGCTATCGCAGTGTTCTTCAAGATGGTCAGGTGCATGCTCCATGCTAGTAAGATGGACCTGCGCTATTGGGGAGAAGCCTTCCTCTATGCTGTCTACATCCGAAGTTTAACCTACACATCCGCCCTCGACGATATCGTCCCTGCTCATGCCTGGTCAGGCATCAAACCTGATGTTTCCCACCTTCGGATATTTGGATCTGTTGCCTATGCCAATATCCCGAAGAAGGTTCGTGGTGGAAAGCTAGAGGTCACTTCTATCAAATGTCGCCTTCTTGGATGGTGGGCAGATGAGACGAAGGGGTACCGTCTGGAAGACGTTGAGACTGGGAAGATCATCACTGCGCGGGATGTCCGCTTTGCTGAAGATGATAGTCCAGGGGACCTTGCAGTTATTGAAACTCGAGGTGTTGCTCCGACAGAGGCTGAGATCAACAGATTGGTTCCGGATGATGTATTTGGGAAAACGGCTGGTTCGGTTTCTCCCATTTCTCAGTCCAAATCAAGTCCTCAACCTGCAGCTCCTGTGGAACCCCCTGTATCTTCAGTGGATGATGCTAGCCCCTCTCTGGAAGCTGATGTTTCAGTTCCAAAGAAGACGTCAAAATGGGACAACCTACCACCACGAGACCACCCTAGGCGCGAACGAAAACCTGCAGCTCCCCCAGGAGATGAAGCTACTGAGGAAGAGTTCCTACTTGCATCCAATCACACCCTCGACAATCGCGCTTTCGTGACCTATCCGAACGAGCCTCAAACATAGTGTTTGAAAGTCCGGTTAGGTTAGGTTATTGGGTGCCCAGGGGCTCTAACCGAGACCGAGACCGGTTAGGGTTCGTTCCCAGACCCAAAATAACCTAACTGGACCGAAGATAACCGACGAAAACCGGTTAGTTGCAGTTACTAACCGGTTAGGACCGAAAAAATAGAAAATCGATTAAAACGGCGTATATTTCTCATATTCCTTGCAGTAAACATTATTGCCATGCGTCGTAGCTTTAAAACAAGCCCAAGAACGCTAAATCCGGTGAAGAATTGACAATTTTATAATAATATTCTTGAAAGCCTACTAATTTAGCCAATATTTTAGAGATTTGACCATAACTCTGTCAGATTTTTAGCGTTTCTCATGCTTTTAGATGCGTTTTGAAGGGGTATAATAGGGTCGGTTGTAACCGGTCATAACCGGTTTTTTAACGGTTAGCTAACTGCAAAATAACCGGTTATTTCATTTCCAGAATTGACTAACCACTAACCACGGTCCGGTTTTTTTGCGGTTAGGTCCGGTCTGGTCTCGGTTATTTTCCAGTTAATTAACCTAACTTCCAAGCACTACTCAAACATACAAACAGGCTAGTATGTGGTCACCCTACTCGCAGCAGTGGGAGAAGGCGATTGCGACGGAATACGATACACTAAGGAATACCGACACTTTTGAATGGGTTCCTAGTCTCCCTCATGGACGAAAAGCGGTTGGCAGCCGTTTTGTTTTCAGGGAGAAACACGATGGCAATGGGGATCTGGCCAAGCACAAAGCTCGCATCGTTGCAAAAGGCTACTCGCAGGTGCCCGGAGAGGACTTTTCAGAAACGTTCTCGTCTGTGGCAAAGTTCACCACTCTACGCATGCTCCTTGCTCTCGTCGCACACTCGGATCTCGAGCTTCATCAAGTTGACGTTGTTGGCGCTTATCTTCGAGGGTTGTTGGATGAGGAGATTTACATGGAGGTGCCTGAGGGGGTGAAGGAGGAAGGAAAGGAGGGGTGGTACTGGAAGTTGAAGAAGGCATTGTATGGTTTGAAGCAGGCAGGAAGGCAGTGGAAGGCGAAGCTCGACGGGGTGATGAGGAATCTCGGGTTTGAAAAGGGTCAAGCCGATGATTGCCTATATATCCTCCGAGAGAAGGATGAGATTGTCTTGTTGGTGCTGGTTTACGTTGACGATATGGCCGTTGCTGGACGTTCGCTCGCTCGCATCACCCAGTTCAAGACTGACCTCACAAAGGTGTTCGACATCACGGACCTTGGTGAGCTGAAGTACATATTGGGCATTCAAGTGAAGAGGGACAGAAAGGCACGCACCATCTCATTGAATCAGACCGCTTACATCCATCACGTCCTCGCACGCTTTGGCATGCAGGATTGCACTCCCGTGTCAACGCCGCTCGCTGTCAAACACAATCTGTCAATTTCGCAGTCACCCAAAACGGAGGAGGAGCGCACCGAATACACCAAGTACGCGAATGGGATTCACTACCTGGAGGTCGTTGGCTCGTTACTCTATGCCACACAGACGCGGCCAGACATTCAATTTCCGGTCGGTCTCATCTCGCAGTTCGGGGGAAACCCAGGGAAACCTCACCTCAAAGCTGCAAAACGAATTATGCAGTACCTACAGTGCCTTGCATAATGCTTTGCAGCGTGAATTTTTTTGAATTGTATTTGGCTGTGTTGAAACTGGACCTGACTCAGGCCTATTTCGGACAGGGATCATTTCGTCAAGTTTAAAAATATTTTTACTATAGTCTAATCGGGGCACACGGGTGCCTGGGGACAAAAACACATCTCCTCTCCCCGAGATGCCTAGTCTCAGAGACTAGCGATCCTGTGCAGGCGATCTGCATATTTAAGACTTATCCACGGTGGATTTGTCTCTTCTTTCTTCACTCCCACTCGAGCTTGCTATCGGATAGCTCTCGTTTGCGTTCACACCATCAACCTATAGTTGCATCAGACTCAGTCTTCAACCTTTTGATCTATCTGTCTATGTCGAGCAGCAATGAAACTTTTTCTGCTACTCCTAACTCTGGGCCTACTCCTAATACTGGGGCAGCACCTCACACGACCTCTAGTGGTGAACAGAGTTCAAATCAAGATGAAGAGCACATCAACTCCTTGGCGAGTTCAACCGAAGGTCAAAATCCCGTTCAGCAAAGCGGAAATGTCACAGGAGAGGGTGACCCTGGTATGCCTGGGAATTTCCCGGTTGCCAATGCCGTTCTCGCATCCTGCAATGACATCCTCAAGGACTTTTATTCATCTCGAGTATCAAAAGGGGTTGCGCTCGCGAGAATCTACACAATCCTACTCGACGGCATCCCCGAAACTGAAGAAACTGGGGCACACGTTGAAGATGCCTTCGAACGTTACCTTGTCATCATTGAGAACCATCAGAACCACCTTAACGAAGCAGAAAACCGCGGGCGCCGTCAGCGGTCACAGAGCCCAGCTAACAAAGGTATTGAAATTGATGATGAAGAGATTCCGCCTCCTAAACGTGCGAAACCCGATGACACGCAATACCCATGGGTGGTATCAGATTTCATACACGGCGCCACTTTATCACCGTCGCTTACCACCACCCTCGAGTTACTTAAACTCTATGCAATTGATCCCAAGGGCACCAAGCGATCTCTTGTCAATTCTCCCAGTTGCCCGGAATTTCCTGACTCAGAATGGACCAACGTCCTTTTGGGTCGTGCCGTCAATCTGGATGCTGTTCTCAGCGGATACTATTCAACATCAAACAACGATGAACGGATTGAAGAAATTGGAGAACTGGAAATCCGCTTCGGCAGTGTCTCCCCAGCAAAACTCGTGTCAAGTGCTGGAGAATGGAGTATTGCGTGGAATCGTACATCTCGAGCCATATGCACTGCCTTCCCACATAGGGCAGGTGAACTCGCTGAATACGCTGAGTACATCATTGGAGTCTTTGCTGCGACTGATGTCCACTTTCATGACCGCGTTATCTCATTCGACAAAGCTGTTCGACGTCGTGTGGGTTCACGTCGAGACTTGGAACTCACCAACTTCAACCGTTTTGCTGATCTCAGGTCAACGCACATGGATTCAATTGGAGCCGCTGTTATTCAACGTGCGAGCATCGCCGTCGCTAATAAATCTGGCAGTTCCTCAGGTCGTGGTAAGAAGCTTCCGGAGCCATGCAACCGCTGGAACGAAGGGCTATGCACGCTTGAGAATAATCAGTGTCGCCGGCTCCACGTTTGCAACAAATGTCTGCTCTCTGGACATACTAGTAAACAAGACAAGTGTCCCCCATCACAGTAATCTCCAACTCAAAACAGCTCATCACGATGTCCATGATCACATCCAACCCCCTCGAATGACGCTGGGGGCATACAAAAAATGATTTCAATTTCACGTGGTTCCCGTCAACCCCACCGGGAGCCATGGACATTGGACCGTCTTGTCCATGAACGGTCCATCGCCTTGGGGTTATCTATTGACAATTCATCTCATCTCACGTACACCTCAGCACTAAACTCGTACCTATCATTTTGCAAGATCCACAATTTCCCCATTGAACCCACTGAAGAAACAGTCAGTTTCTTTGTCGTGTTTATGTCTACTCATATTAAACCCGATTCAGTCAATTCATATCTCTCCGGAATTTGCAATCAACTCGAAGTATATTTCCCGAATGTCCGAAAAAACCGCAACAGCATCTTAGTATCTCGAACTCTTGCTGGATGTCGGCGACGTTTTGGAACACCAACACGGCGAAAGCAACCCCTCTCATCTCATGATCTCGGAAAGGTTTTATCTCGAATTGGATCTTCCAAAAACTATGATGACCGACTTTTTCTCGCAATTCTCTTCACTGGTTTCCATGGATTGTTTCGCCTGGGAGAATTAACCTTCCCCGACAGAGTCGCTTCCCGTGATTACCGCAAAATCATGTCACGACATACTGTTGACCTTACCCAATCCTCTTACTCATTGTTGTTGCCTGGCCACAAGGCCGACCGCTTCTTTGAGGGGAGTACCGTCATAATTCAGAAAACAAATCTCACTACAGATCCACACAACATCTTTGTGTCATACATAACATCTCGCGATGCAATCCACCCATACAAACCTGAGCTCTGGTTGCGGCAGTCTGGCATTGTGCCGACACGCTCCTGGTTCATCAAAAAATTGCGTAATTTTTTCCCATCTCATATCGCAGGGCAATCCATGCGTGCTGGCGGCGCCACTTCCCTAGCTGAAGCAGGCGTTCCCCCACACATCATCCAGGCCATCGGCCGATGGTCCTCTGATACATACAAAATATACATTAGGAAAAATCCGGTCCTTCTTCAAGCTATGCTGTTTGGGCGGCCTGTCCATCAACAATGCTAGCTTTGCTCTAACTCTCACAACCCATAGACATTTTTTTTGAACTTTTATTTATACTTGAACAGTGCGTTCTTCCATTTTCTGGTATCTCACAACATCCCTCCGCTTCCACTCCACTCAACTTCCCTTTTCTTTTTTCTTTTTCTTTCCAAATATACAAACACTCTCGCTCCCCTTCCCTTCCCTTCCCTTTATTGTTTTTAATAGGTATAATAGGACATCAATACCAGCAATGGATGTTTCTCGCGAGTTCTCCAGGCGCAGTACTGCGCCTGGAGGACTCTGCATATGCCTATTTAGCTTTTCACCTTACTTGAGATTTTTGGACCCTTAACCGTTACACGATTAGTCGAGTTTAAAAATATTTTTACTATAGTCTAATCGGGGCACACGGGTGCCTGGGGACAAAAACACATCTCCTCTCCCCGAGATGCCTAGTCTCGGAGACTAGCGATCCTGTGCAGGCGATCTGCATATTTAAGACTTATCCACGGTGGATTTGTCTCTTCTTTCTTCACTCCCACTCGAGCTTGCTATCGGATAGCTCTCGTTTGCGTTCACCCGCCCTCCTGCATCCCTGGTTTCCCTCGTACATCAAGTATAGTACTCAGTCATGTACAGGACATCAATACCAGCAATGGATGTTTCTCGCGAGTTCTCCAGGCGCAGTACTGCGCCTGGAGGACTCTGCATATGCCTATTTAGCTTTTCACCTTACTTGAGATTTTTGGACCCTTAACCGTTACACGATTAGTTGGGCCTTGGTTGTTGCTTGGTTGTGACATTTCAGGGTCATTACAAACATAATCAAATACAATTTGAAAAAATTCGTGCTGCAAAGCATTATGCAAGACACTGTAAAGGGCACCGCACATTTCGGTCTTGTTCTCGGACGTCGCGGGGAAGGTTCATTTGACCTAGTTGGTTGGACAGATTCCGATTGGGCTCAAGACCCCGATTCACGTCGTTCAGTGGGAGGATTTGTGTTTGATGTTGCTGGGAGCTCAGTTTCATGGTCGTCGAAGAAGCAACCGACAGTCGCGTTGTCCACCGTGGAAGCCGAGTATGTGGCATCATCAAATGCGACGAAGGAAGCAATCTGGCTGAGAGTTTTGTTGGAGGATATGGGATATCCCCAGACCACGGCTACCCTTATCCACGCGGACAATCAAGGGTGCATAGCCCTCGCTCGCAACCCCGTTGCTCACTCTCGTGCAAAACACATCGATATCCGTCACCATTTCATTCGAGAACGGTTACAAAATTCGGAGATACGGCTGGAATACTGTTCGACGAAGGACATGCTAGCTGACATCTTCACCAAGCAGCTCCCACGCGAGGCCTTCGAAACGTTCCGTTCGGCGCTAGGCGTACTAGCTGTGTGAGAGATAACTCTCCGAGTGGGAGTGACGAACGTCAAGCTCTTTCTGTACGTTTCGTTATCTCTCGTAGCACGTGATCCGGTAGATGTAGGACAATTTTCATCTTCCTGGAGTTCACCTTTACTCTCGTGAACTCCAGGTGCGTAGTCTACATTATATCTTTTTCTACTACTTACAATATATACCTTTACTCTCGTGAACTCCAGTGCCTGCCCTCGGCCGTTCCACTCGCATTCGGATTGTGCGTGCGTCAGGTCTCTCCTAGACAGACTTCTATATATGTGAAGTCGTAGCTTTCCAAGGCAAAAAACTTGAAAGCCCCAAACATTGTCTCCCTTCAAAATACTTAATTGAAACAAGGGTAATCCTTCTTGTGTTTCTGCGCTTCATACTATGATCGTCGGTGCGACTTCACATCATATCAAAGCTGTCTAGGAGAGACTATTTCTTCGCACCGCTACGCAATCAAGCGAACTAAGTGTGGTACCAATTGACTACCGCCCTCTCCGCAAGAGAGGATATCCCATCATGCTCCACACTAATCAGATCTCCATAGAAAGTTTCAAATCCAATTTCCTCATTGGTGCACGCGATTACCTCGACCATTTTCAAAAATTTCCAAGAACCAGGCGGAGAAAACACGTCATCCACTTCGCGCCAATCCCAATACCCAACTCGTTTGGGCGCAGCCGAACGAATGACGAAAGTGATCCGCTCAATTGAGTTGTCCGCTGGACAAGTTTGTAGACCATGTGCCAGCCAATTTAACTCACTGGAGAAAATTCCAAATTCAACAAGATAGGGAGGAAGGGCGGCAATGGTGGATAAGATAAGTCGTTTCAAGGTTGTCGGGATGTTCTTCAGGTTGAGTGTTGTGACTGATGTGGTTGATCAGAAATTGCGCGATAGGCTGTCATAATATGACTTACCAAAAGGGCTATTATCATCACTAGGATCAATTTGCAATCGTTCAAGTGACGGGCAACGCTTCAACACGGAAGGTAGCAGCGGTACGCCTTCCCTTGTGCCTTTGTACTTGAGCGTATGGAGGTGGGGAAACGGCTTCCAGCCATAATACGACACCAGAAAACGGGTGAAACCAACCACATCTCCAAAGCACAACTCCTCGAACTGCCCAAATATGTCGGTGTCGTCGTTCAGTGGCATGAACAAGACGGAAGTGAGGTTCAACCTCCGGAAATTCCATGACTCGATGGAATCAAGGGGGACAATCACATTCTCCAACTCGACCTCGCGCAACGTCGGTCGTTTCAAAGCGTCCAGAAACGCGTCCTTGACCGGGTACAAGAGATAAGCCCAGTGAAACCTGCAGATGAGGTGTAACGAAGTGAGGTTTTTCAAATCTCTGCTGAGGATGTATATCAGGCTGGCCTCTTCTCGACTCATTGGGTAAGGCGCGTTATGCCCTTTAGCGTGGAAGATGCGAAGGGTGTGGGTGGACGCGATGAGATGCGGTGAGTGGTGGATAACCCTCGCAAATCGTTCTGCTTGGGTCTTTGCGAATCGGTCTGGCTTCTGCATCTCGTCGCCATGACCAATGTAATCCCCAGCACCGATAGAAATATCGGAAAAGATCCGTTGAGAGGCATAAGGTCGTAAGCAGCGGCAAGTTACGCAGAGCGCTTTCAGTGTGTCAAGGTCGTTGGTGGGAGTGTAGCTGTCGATAATAATATACATGATCTCAGGTGGCAGGGGAAGTTTCCAAGTCGGCGCAGGAAAAAATGACGGAGGTGGGGAATGGGTAGTTTGAAGTTCCTCAAGAAAAGCTATTCCGTCCTCGTCCTTAGGTCCCTTTAGTTCATCTTTAAGCCTCTTGAAGAGCTTGAGCATCCTTCCCAGATGTTTCTTACCAGGATGAAGGGGATCAATGAAAAGGCAGAGGGGAACGACAAGACGAATTTGGAGGCTGTGCACTCCATTTCACTGCCAAGAATAAGATAAGAAAGATAAGATCTGCAATTGAACAGTATCAATCCCTCGAAAGCGTTCTCATAACACTTTCGCACTTACGTTTCCGTGCATACTTACATAGTAGTGTTATAAAATTCTCCTTCCAATTGAACCTCCCCCGGCTTCGCGGCCCGAGATCGAGGTTGAAAATTTGGAACAAAGCTGAATATTTGAATTCTCGTTAGACGACACACTCTTATTTACTTCTTCTTATACTACTTCGTTGTGAATCAAATTGCCCCCTCCATTCAAGATCGATTGCCTTGCAGATTATAGCTTAGGTGCGGCTCCCTCGACAAGACGCTTCTCAGCCTCCTGGAAGTTGATCACGGACCAGATCGCGGCAAGATACTGACGAACACAAGTCAACGAAAATGACAACAGCAAGAAAGAAAAAAAAGCCCGACGTACATCAGCCTTGACGTTGAGATACTGGAGGTAGAAGGCGTGCTCCCAAATGTCAACACCGATGATGGGCACGAGGTGCAGGAGAGGATCCTGGTTGGGCGTGGTGGCGATCTCAAGGCGCCTCGTTGAGGTATTATAACCCTATATGACATGTATCGTCAAACACAAAAACCCTGACAGGATCACTGAACTCACGAGCCATCCCCATCCAGAGCCCTGAATTCCCAAAGTCGCTGTGTTGAACTCTTTCTTCAAGTTATCGAGGCTACCGAACGCAGCAATGATAGCCTCCTTGAGTGGGCCCTCTTGCAATTCACCTCCGGTACCTTTTCCGACTGCAGCAGAAGGGGCGAGGTTCTTCCAGAAGAGAGAGTGGTTGATGTGGCCTGATTGTTTGATCAGCGATTAGATAAGAAGTTGACGAGTTGAAAGACTGTCAGGTACCTCCTCCGTTGAATTTGAGGGCCGCCTGGAGAGCGATGCGCTCCTTTGGCGTGGAAGCTTGGGCGTAGGCACTCTCTGCGGCGTTGAGAGCGTTAACGTATGTCTGGTGGTGCTTTTTGTGGTGAAGCTCCATGATCTGGCGTGAGATATAAGGCTCAAGAGCGTCATATGCATAAGGGAGGTCTGGGAGAACGTTCGACATGGTGTTCACGGTGTTCAGAGGTGGTAGATGGTGGAAGGATGAAGGAGGGATGTAAACGGAGATAATCGCGATGGCTTTCAAATCCATGTCATTGCGTGATCGTCACGGTCTCAATCTTTTACACAATGAAAGCCCAGACAAACCAGTACGCGTTTGGCAGCTCACTACGTTAACCGGCTCAAAAGATCCATCAAATGAGGATGAGGATAAAATGAAATATGAAATATGTTGCGTTTTTTGAGCGATTACTACCACTCTAATTTAGGGTCTCCGCATAGGTGGCTACCTTCTTTGATTCCAACGAACTCAATTTCCGTCGTTCCGTTCAACTCAAGGGCCTCTGACTCAGCCTGCCTTACTACCCACTTTTCCGTCCCAAGAACAGCATCAATGTCCTGCTTCGGCGGAAGGAATAGTTGAATATCATTCTCGTTTTCGGGATCCTCGCGGGCCTGGAACGCAAGGATATCATACTCGGTGTCGCTCAAGCCTTTCCCACATGTGAGACTAAAGTTCCGCTTGTGTAGCGGGCAAGAGACATACTGCAGACCAAGGTAAGCAAGTAAACGCAAATTCAAACGAGAACCCCCTTACAAGTTCACCAGTCGGCGTATCACCGACGATACCATGGTCTAGGACGAACGCGCGACGGTGCGGGCACCTATGTACAGTGAGTATGTCTACCTGCAACTGCAATCGTAAAATCTGCTTACATTTGTTGAGTAGCATAATACCCTCGTTTGGGGACATGATAAACGGCGAGTTGTGTGTCACCATATAAAACAGCAACGCTGGTGGTTCCGTTTTCCGATGACATCATGTCCCTTTTTGAAGCGACCTTGGTCCACCTCCACTCGCTCTTAGGGGTGATTAATTGGTCTGGGGAAAACTTGGTAGAGGGGGTGGCCTTGGGCCAGTCGGCAGGTCGCATCTGGCCACGTTGATCGATCAGCTCTGCTTGTGGACGTTGTTCTTCCGTATTGACGAATTGTTTGAACTGCTGGCGTTTTGCAGGGTCTTTTATGATTGGGATGAGCGTCGGAGGTGGAAACCATGAATGGATGTAAATACCTTTGACGACAGCTGCCCACTCATCTTCATATGAATTCACCAGATTATCCATGAGCGCGTCCAAGTCGGTGCATATCCCGAGCTCATCCTCAAGAATTACTTTGCGAAGTTTCTGTACAAAGTGAGATATATGTCTTTTTCCCTGTATCGATGACGAACCTCAATGCCACCATCCATGCTCTCAATCCACCTGGCGGTGCGCTGAAGTCTATCCGCAGTCATAATATAATAAGCGAGATATCGGTCGATGATCCTGATCACTTTCGAGGGTGGAACGTCCTTCGCGAAGAGCTCTGCATGTCGCTACAAAACATACTGAGAAACCTGCTGATAGTCAACAGATTTAATTGACGCACAGGATTCGCACCGCCGTTACCACCCACGAAAACTGGAAAGATAGGTTAGTGAGATAAATCAGGAAGACATCAGATAACAACGCACTATTCCACCCCTTATCCGTGGCAATAACGCCAAAATCTTTGCTTTGCGCTTCCGCGCACTCCCTGATACACCCAGAAACGCCGCCTTTGAATTTATGAGGGCTGCGAACCCCACGATATCGGTTCTCCAGCTGAATAGCCAACCCGACGGAATCCCCGACACCATAACGGCACCCTAAATATAAATGAGTGGGTAAATCACTACGTTGAATGAGCGACTTGACGGACAAGTAGTCCCGACGCAAGATTTAACCGTCCTGAGGCTCTTGCCGTACGCCTGACCACTTTCAAAACCGGCTGCATTGAGCTCGCCCCAAATGGCTGGAAGGTCGGATTTCAACGCGCCGAACATGTCGATGCGCTGGCCTCCCGTAATCTGTAGGCATCCTATCTTATTTATAAGCCCCGGGCGGCGGAAGGAAACTACGTACCTTGGTATACAACTTATACTTCTTCGCGACTTGGCCAATAGCAATGAGTCCTTCCGGGGTGATTTCCCCCGCAGCGATACGTGGAACAACGCTAAAAGTCCCATTTCTCTGAATATTAGCCAAGTACCGGTCGTTGGTGTCCTGGTTTTGATGATGCTCGGGCTTCATTACATGCTCATTATATCTATAGCATCGAAAAGTCATTCAACTCCCTTTTTAGGATTTAAGATAGGCTTACAAGCTTGATAAAATGCTGCCAATCGCAGGCTTGCATATCTCGCACCCGATAGAGTCATTGTTCACCCCGACGACCTTCATTATTTCTGCAAAAGTTCGAAGTTGTTTGATTTTTATGATATTGAATAGGTCGACACGCGCCATGTTGAAATGTGGGCATAGATTATTGGAGAGAGTGTGTCCGGCCTTTCTCATCTCGGCGTTGTAGATGCCAGTGACCTGTAAAGATCGTTGTCAGCAAGTCTATACGGTTATGGTGGGCGGATGGACGAACCAGAGGCATGCAGCCACCACACCCTGTGCCGACTTTCGTTTTTTTCTTCAAGATCCCAACGTCGGTGCATTCTCCGCCTTTAACGCATTTGACTATATCGCCTTTCGAGACGTTCTGGTTTTTGTCAGATGGGAAGAATATCCAAGAGGAGACAAGCTTACGTGACAACTACAGACTTGAGCATCATCATCGAGATCATTCCCATCGTCAGCGCCTTCCTTTTTTGAACCGATGATAAACTGCGAAGGGGGTACGTCCAATGGTTTCTGTATTGATATACCTTGAAGTAGATCAATAGGACAGGATAACGATGCCGACCTTCTTTTTGACGATCGCCACTAGCTTCACAAAGTCACTGACATCACCAATCATCATACCCCCAAGCAGGTGTTTACCGTCCGCAGTAAATATGTATTTTTTGTATGTCGAGCTGAATGGATCATTGTAAACGAGGCATTTGATGGGTTCATCCGCACCACGCCCTCGTTTCGATGCAAGCGGCCTGGACTCCGAAACCGTTGTGCTTGTTTCTTGCGTGGTAAGTTCAATGGCGGGTTTGGCTGGATCCACCGATTTTGATTTATTGTCAAGGGCGACGGCCAGTACCGGAGTCTCGGGAGAACCGTGTTTATCCGCAAAGTAATCACCGAAGGAGGCGACATCAACTCCCATGAGTCTAACGTCATTCAGGTGTCAGATGACAAGAAGTAAGACGAGGGTTATTTTCAGACGCCTACTTGAGTTTGGTGCTCAAATCCGGGGCATTCATCTTCCTTGGAGCATGAGACTCGGTCTGAGTAAGGTTGAATGTCAAGATATCAGCCATTTCAACTTGCAAACATCAGTGAGCCTTCATTGGGCTGATAAAAGAACGGCACACGTACTTCCGGGAGCGATTAAACCATAGTAGTTTCCCTTCCAGCTAGCGCACTCGCCCACCGCGTATATATCCTTTGCGGAGGTCTGAAGATCGTCCCCGACGACAACTCCGCCTCTGGGGTGGCACTCAATGCCGCTGCTCTTCGCCAGCTCGTCGCGGGGTTTGATACCTATCGCAAAAATGACTAGATCAGCGTTGAAGATGGATCCGTCGTGTAGCGTGAACCCGGTAAAAGTTCTATCTCCCGATTCATCATCTGCGGCGCCGGTGAGCAGCGCCGAGGGAGAACAGTTGACGAGCACTTGGACTCCCATGGCTTCAATCTTGTTGAGTACCATCTTCCCCGCGTCTGCATCTAACTGACGCGATAGGGGGTAGGCTTGGCGGTTTATGATGCTAACTTGGGATATACTTTGTGGGGTGAACAATAAGATGAATCTGACGGTTGAAGGGATGGAAGGAAACTCACGTTTCCAGATCATATGCCGCTTTGGCAGCTTCCAACCCAAGCAACCCGCCACCAACCACTACGGCATGGTTAACTCCTTCTTTCGCCGCGTATGAGATGATGCCGTCGAGGTCCGAGATGTTGCGGTACACAAAGACTCCTCGAGTTCTAGCAACTTCGTTTTGAGATATGTATGGCGGAAGACCAGCACCGGAACCGGTGGCTAGGACAAGCTTATCGTATCGGAATGATCTACCCTTGCTCGTATGAACAAGGTGAGCTTCCTGGGATATGGATGTGACGGTTTCAGAGAGATGGTAGCGGAATCGGTCTGGTTGTTGTTCGGCGTACCAGGAAGGCGGGTTTAGGTAGAGGTTTGACACCTAAGAGGAAGATAAGACATGTCAAGGCAAATGACGTCTAATTTACACACGTTGCGATGCTCGAAATACTCTGTTAATCTGAGGGCGACAATTTGAACTGAAGGCATAATACTCATTGGAAATATGACTGACCCAACTCGATTGTAAGCGAAGTGTACCTCCTCTCCGCAAGTCACGATGAAGTACTTGTTGCTCTCGTCGAGATTGAGGAGTTTCTCAATGAAAGCTTTGAGAAGTCAATGGATGTGTTTGGATGGGATAAAGGCACAGTACCTATTCCGACCATTCCAAGACCGACTGTACTCAGATAAGATAAGCAACTGACGATGTATGGACTTAAAAAGACCAACGCACCGACGAAGATGACCTCTCGGCCGCTTGGATAGTCATCAAGGTTGAAAGGAGTAACGGAAAGTTCATGGGTTCCAGGAGAAGGAATTTCGTGAGAGTGCATGGGACGCATTTTCTTCGTCTTCGCGACCTTGGGGGATTTGGGATAAATTATGATGACAACGAGCAAGGGTCGTACATACAAATACCTATCGCACGGGAAAAAATACACCCCGCAGACGACGAAGAGATCTATGGAAGGAGAGGTTGTCGTGCATCACTCCGGCGGAGCGATAAGGAAATTGGATGGAGATTCCCGACCCTGAAAGGACGCCTGAACGATATGTTATCTTTGGGGCGCTTCACACTGGCAGAATGGGGGCGATCATGATCGGATCGGCGAAGCAGCAAATCAAGACCGTCTGTTATCGTGTTGGAGGAATTGGGAAAGGGGGTGTAAACTGTGCAATATGGAACAGTGTATCAGAAAAGGAACGAATAGCAATGTTGAATCTCTTTGCATAAAAAGAACTAAAGGCTAGACTTACCGTTCCAACTTTCCTCTCCGTGTTCGCGTTCAATGGAGCAAGTCCCTTTCATGTAGCTTGCATTGTGGATTGGCCATATGATAGGATTCCATATCCAGAGCGATTTGGCCCGCAGACAAATAGCAACCAGTGCGCAAGGCAGAACGTAGAATATTCGCATAGAATGTCGCCTATAGTTGAGATACTTGCCCAACCAGGTGAGATTTGTTGCTACTTCCACACTGGCAGATTGGGGGCGATCATGATCGGATCGGTGAAGAAGCAGGTCAACTGTTATCGTGGTGAAGGAATTGGGGCTGTAAACTGTGGAAAATTGTATCAGAAAAGGAACGGATATCAATGTTGAATCTCTTCGCATGAACAAAGGCTAGACTTACCGTTTCCTTTCCGCAGTGTTAGTGTTCAATGGAGCAAGTCGCTTTCATGGAGTTTGAATTGTGGATTGGCCATGATAGCATTCCATTCCCAGAGTGATTTATCCCGCAGACAGATAACAACCAGTGCCCAAGATTGCAGATCTGAGAGCTGCCAGTGCTAGTTCCAGTGGAGCAATATGAAACTTTCTTTGAGACTTATAAGTTATAATGGGTCGCCATCTGGTGGGGAAGCCTGTAAGACAAATAAGGGGTCTTGAGAGACAGATCTTTTAAGATAATATCCGACTTGTCTTCCTCCTGGTAATTCGTGGATGGTTGAACGTTTAGCAAAGCAAAAAACTTGAAAGTGTCGTTCTTCGGCCAATCTTCGGCTTGTCTTCGGCGCGAATTTGGCTACATCGAAAACGTGACTACTACTACTAGTTGCCACGTGGTGTGTCTCTCTGCTATCTTCACGTCAATGCCCAATAACTCAAGAAGAATAGGCTCTACTGACTCACGCATGCGCAAGCGGTGAGCTTGGCACTTTCACATCTCGTGTGCTAGTCTCTAACGGAAGAATGTGGGATGCATAAATCGTTTGAACACGCCTCTTACCTCGTTCGCCACGGGTTGGGAAAACGCGAGGCGGAGTAACTCTTTACGGTCTTGCCTTTACATTTGAGACAGGTGAGCTACATGAATTTTCAATATCCAGAGAATAGCCCATAACGGTTCACTAGAGCTTTAGTAATTCTGTATCTCTTGGAAGTTGGGGTGCATTTTGTGTAATGATCCCGTGAACAACCTGGTTCCTAAATACTATCTTATCTAAATGCAATGGCGGTGGCCTTCCGGATCTAGCTAAGGGCACTTATCAAGAATGAACATATCGACGATCTGACAACATGCCTTGCCTTGCACCATGCAATTGTCCATCTGGGGAAGACAACTCGGCCGACAGCTCCGCAATCTCTTGCCTTACGGAAGCTGTTAAGTCTCTCATAGGCCACTCCCATTATCTCTTGGTATAATGCATAACATTATCGACAAGGGCAAAGATCACTTTACCATATAATCGTTATCTCTCAGATGGCGAGCTTTACGCTCATATTGCCGTCAGCAACCATTCTAAAATATCTCTATTGACCCACAGAGCTCCACGGGTTCTCCTTCCGAGAGAGACTTCACTACTGAACAGTTCGCCGTTCCCACTCTCATGAAGGAATCACCAGACCTCACCGGATGCATCCACGCCATTCACATATCGTATGTATACCAAACAACTTGAGGCGTCGGACGGATCCCAACGCCAACTGACGCGCGAAGAGAAAAGTATTGTTCATATCCTCAAGCGGTATATGAAAAGCCTAGGTTCCTTACGTCTGGCTTTTGACGCCCGGGAGGACCTCTGGGCCTATCTTCTTGGCCAATTCACACAAGAAATTACAGTGGCGCTGTGAATTGCATCTCTCTACACGAGATTCACTTGAATAACGTGCCAATACCAGTCGACCTTCGGCTTACTCCCGATCTCAAACGACTGGAACTCATTCGTTCACTGGCCGATCCGAGGACGCGTTGGGGCGATAGATCTTTCCAGGTCATGCCTGAGGAGCTTAGGGGTGTGGTCTGTATGGCGTGTTGCCCTTCGATTTATCATGTCTTCGGACATTAAATTTGCGTGGAAATGAGCCTGACTTTGACGATATTTTTCCTCCGCTGCCGCATGTCACTGAAACGCCTGAGTGTTATGACGTATGAGCAGGAATGGTGGGGGTGAGTTTTGCCTTCCTCCGTTCAACGTGTCCATCGAACCTGAATTGATGGAAATGCGACTTGACCTTCGTCCCTTGACCTCCCTCAAGTTCATCACCTTGCTGACTGACGCTTTCACTTGGCTTTCACTTCCGCTTCGAGATACGGATTACTCGTCGAGTCAATCCGACGATTTGACTGGTTGAAGAACGCGTGTGCTCCTAATAGTGTGGGGTGAAGACTACCTTTGTCATTCGCAGCTCATTGCATTAATGCATCCATTGGCGATTGGGACTACTCCGTTGACTTATCATTTGGGCAGGTGCGTGAGTGGAAGAGTTTGAAGACGGTCGAGGTGATTGTGTGTGAGGGATCAGGAGGTCAAATTGTCGGACTTGACTCCCGATTGTTCGGAGAAAATTACGGCAGATGCGACTCGGATGGTCATATGGTATAGGTACAAGGTGTAACGTAGCCGATAAGATAAAGAGCTCATGAAACACGCTCCGAAACCATGATGATGGGGTTGAACTACTGACACAGCTTGGACACAGCCCTCGGAGCGGGGTTCTACATATGATACTTTTTGGTTATGCCGACATGTGTCCCACTGCCTAGATGACGTAGTCCGGAATAGCTCATCGTAGGGCACGTCCACCCCAATTGAAAATCAATAACTATCGCTTCTTTTCCTCCTTTTCTTTTTCATGTTTAAATCGAGCAATGCACCCCCCGTAAGCCTCCCAAAGAGTGACTGTCCCCGGTCTTCAGGTTCTACCTGCCGAATACTATACATGTCCGCAGTGCGGAAGTATGTCCCGGAGGGCGGATAGATCACATACCCGCCTGTACCGCTATTAATAGGGACGATCACAGGCTGCTTCGACGACGGCTGAACGTACGTGCCCCCACCAGGAAGTGTCGTGTACGCGGAGCTAGGTGTTTGTGGACCAGAGGAATAAGTGGATTGTGGGTACGGATTGGTTTGTGGTGTTTGGTAAGCGCTATACTGCGTCGGGTAAAGAACAGCGGATTGTGGGGGATAAAAATCTGGTTGGGGCTGCGGCGGGTAAGAAACAGCGGATTGTGAGGGATAAGAATTTGGCTGGGGCTGCGGCGGTGACGCTACGCCGTACCCATGAGGCATGGGGTACACTGCAGATGCTGTGGCGGATTGGGGGAATGATTGTACTAGATCCGGGCGATAGTTACGGTGAAGAAGTGGAAGTGGCATGAAGTTCGAGTGAGGGCTCGAGTTGGCACTAGCGTACACTCGGAAACCCTTGCTGCGGCTGTGGCCGTGGTGTCGGCGGTGTGGACTGGAAGGGCGAGTGGGAGGGGCGGAGTGAGGCGCCGTTTGAGGTTGAGAGTACCCGTATCCATAGTCATACGTGGGGTATGGCCCAGGTGGAGGTGGGGGAGCAGGAGGGGCGGAGGCGACGTAGTCTGATGGTGGAAGTGGATTGGGTGGTAGGGGAATGAAGGGATTCTCCTGGGGATACTTCTCCGTCTCATCAACCCACCTACCAATGCGCTGTTGAGTGGCAAGGTGACGCTCGTATGCCTCGGGTGAGAAGTCGTACTCCGTCATCTCCCCAGCAAGAAATCCGGAAGAGTGTTAGAAACAATTTGGGGAGTAGAACCAGCAATGAAGACAATAAGGGAGACGGGCTCGCCACGACGGTATATAAGGCATCATTTACGGACCATTAAGTTGTTATGATTCATGAATGATTCAATTCCCCGTTTGATCCTTGACAGAGCCCCTGATGGCCTGAACGAGGACAAAGTAAGGTCAAACAGAGTGCGATTTGTTAGAATGGGGAGAAGGTCCCTGAGTGAATCGCAGTCATTCCGACTGATTGCTTCAAGATCGCTTGCAATGAGGCCTATGTAATGAGGCTGTAAGTCAGTCACGTCAGGAGAACGCAATGGCGTTTGAATGGCGTCGACACGGACAAATACCGGTTATCTTTATATAGCCGGCCTAGATTCATTTGCGTTCCCAAATCTGCCTTCACTCAAGAACTGGAGGGCTCAAGCTCAAGAGCCAGCACCTCGGCGGATGAGTCCGAACACAATGTATCCTCACAATCTATAAGGCCATCTGCTTCTGTGCTCTCTCAAGCTTCTGTCTTTTCGCCTCCTGTTCACGTACCTCCGCAAGCATACTACTTAGCCCAACTGCCAACTTGTTCATGGTCAGAACCTTGGAAGTAACGACTTCCTTTTGAAAGGAAAGAATTTGGCGTCTTGCGCTTTATTTAATCGGTCATCATCGCTACCTAAGAGGCCAAGGTTGTCATCAGCGCAGCATTTAACCACGTCTGAAATGTAATTTACATTAGCCGCCATGCTAGTTTGCTATTTATCACTTGTAACTTCTACTTCTTGTCAAGGGAAGAAATCCATCCTCCAAGATCCTCACGGTGCTACTATTTTCAGCTCAACGTGATCTTGGTTTACATCATGGGTTTGCAGTGGCATCAAAATGTAAAATGGGGAGCCGATAAGTGGAGGTGTAGTATGCGACGACCCATGTTGGTCATTTAGGGATGTACAGTTCAATGGAGATGGCAGGAAGGGTGTGATAAAGTCTGGAGGGGGTATTTCAGCGATTGGTTTCAATTTCTTGAACGATCTGACAGTTTTAACGTTGCTATACATTGAGGTTGAGGTTGTAATGAGATACGAACAGAATTTGTGGTGGTAGACAGTGTTGAAAAGGTTTAAACACATTGAGAGTAGTGTTTGAAAGTTAGGTTAGTTAACCGGAAAATAACCGGAAAATAACCGGACCTAACCGCAACACTAACCTAACCGCAGTTAGGGTTAGTTGATTTCGAAAATGGAATAACCGGTTATAACCAGCCCTATTATACACCTTCAAAACGCACTTGAGAACGTCGAAAACGCTTAAAATTTGACTAAGTTACGGTCAAATCTCTAAAATATCACTCAAATGTGTAGACTTTCAAGGATAATTGCATAAATATGTCAATTCTTCACCGATTTTAGCGTTCTTGGGCTCGTTTTAAAGCTAGAATATGCAGAAATAATATCTATCAAGATACATATGAGCATATTTGCCTTGTTATAACCGATTCTTTATTTTTCGGTCCTAACCGGTTAGTAACTGCAAATAACCAACCGTAACCGGTTAGTTGCGGTCCGGTTAGGTTATTTTAGGTTTCGGGACAAAGGCTAACCGGTCTCGGTCTCGGTTAGAGCCCCTGGGCACCCAATAACCGGACCTAACCGGACTTTCAAACACTAATTGAGAGTTCCAAGGGTGTTCCTCAATATTGACACGACATGGTTTCAAAGTCCGCACTTTACATAAGCATTTTCTGACATGGTTCAGAGGGCACGGTAACTAACAGACTTCATATATCATGAACCAAGGTCAACTTCACATATATTGAAGTCTGTCTAGGAGAGACTACATTTTCGGGTGTGTCGTGCATAAATTTGAAACTCTGCCACATGATGATCCTGTCATGACTGCTTTCTCATCACCACCACTGCCATTTGCTTGCCGGTTCCCCACCACCCCCCTTGCTCTCTTCCTGCCTGTCTCGCACCCTGCTATGGGTGACAAGGACCAAGACAACAGTCATGGGCCCCTTCAGATGAGTTCACACTCTGTTCAGCCCCAGATTTTTGCTAACAACCCACCACCATCACCTCCCGCACACTGTGCCATGGCAAACACAACCACTGCCCCCAATTAAACCCCCCCTCACAAATGCAACCCTCAGATTACAACTAACTGCCCATGAAAATGCCCACAAAACCGCCCAAAGATCCACAAAACCACTCATCTACCCATGGCAACAACCCAGCACCCAGAATAAACCACCCATGCTGATGGAATCGGCCCATGAAAATGCCTGCACAGATGGAATCCAGCATCAGCGAGGACCCAGTGCCACTTGGCGAACCAACAGGGGATACAGCACCCACCGTGCAGCCAGGTGTGTACATCAGGAAAATCACTTTTTTCCTGGGACAAACATGTTTGTAAGCTTTTTCCCAGGCATCACAGGATGTCCTGGGGCAACCCACACTTGAGACAGGGTCCAAAGAATATTCAGGACAAATTTGGACATATGTACCCCCATAATTGTGGCCATTTGTAAAATAAAGAAGCTGGTGTGCATCCGGAAAGCATCAATTGTCAAAATTACAAAATGAAGAACAATAAGAATGTTGAGGACATTCAATTTACATATCTAAACAATTTCTTTGGGAAATAACCTTGGTAGCCATGGCAACACCACTCAGCTGAAGATTATGTTGAAGAATAAAATAACAGAAATGACCACTCGATGTGCTCAATGTTCTTATTGTTCATCAATTTGAGATTTTGATAATCAATATTTTCGGGATGCACATCAGCTTTATTATTCAACAAGTGTCGACAATTATGGAGGTACCTTTGCCTAGATCACACATTGGACCCTGCCTCAAGTGCCAAGGGCAACCTGAACTGTCCTGAAATAACCTGAAACTACTAGTATACTAGATTTCAATAAAAAGAACATTCCTTATTGTATATGAATTATCTTGATCAAAATAAGACTGGAATGAGAAGAAAGTACACCATTGTCCAGAGATTGGTTGACCTACAAAAACTGCAACAACAAAGAAGATCAAGTATCCTTTGCAAAACATATTCGTTTTTTGTGTTCTTTTTTGCGCTACAAAGCGGTGTTTACGCGTCTATATAGGTAGCATTTACGGCAAAACTCGCAGGGCTATGGACCGATTACTGGCGAAGAATCTGCCCAAAAACGGTAAATGTTATCGGAGGTCATTTCAAACGTCACAATATTAGGGGCTCTCAGACCCTTTTTGAAGCTCTAATTTGTGCATTTCTAACAAGCCTAAAATCGCATGAAACGGAAGAGAACTCATGATGATATAATATATGTTACATCTCTACTACAGGCCAAATAGTTTATGCTACAGTTTGTGAGGTACTTTGAATTTTTTTACGCCGTAAAATGGGTTGCATTCACGTAAATAAAGCGATTAAAACGAGCCTACATAGAGGCGAAACGGTGCGAAACTTGTGAAGTTATAGCTATGAGCTGCCTTAGAAAGTGTAAGAGTTGGGGAGCAGCAACCCACTGCCAAATTTTCAACTCTGCCGCATTTTCCCATCACCAAAAACCTGATCAAGAAATGGTTGATCGTCTTCACTGCTCATATTTACATTGACACAATGATAGATTGCCAATCTAAGTGTGGATATATGTAGGTGGAGTATAAGTGAAGCTGCTCGTATACAATTTCGCTCAAAAATACATATATTCCATCAGTTGATATCTTATATCAAGGCTTCCAAACCATTTTATAAAATTCTGTCCTGAACAAATCCATCCTACACTTCAGCATTTTGTGCCTGCAAAATTTTGAAAGGATACCTTTACAAATGAAGTAGCAATCCACGATGGGAGAATGGCATGTAAAGACGCGTCAATGATCATGCACTGTAATAAAGAAAGTAATCGAAGTGCAACTGCTGACACCAGCAACGCATTATCGTCATTATCTCTGCATATATTCACTCATTAACTACAAGTATTTTATATCATGGGTAAGCACACGTGGAAACTGGGCCAGAAGTCACGATTGATGTTGCAAACTTCTCAGTAAACGACAAACCTTCACAACATCTGAGTCTGCTCCGACAAAGAAAAAACACCAGAGCACTGGCAACAAAAACCTCAAAAAGCAGGCTTTATTGAAAGGCATTGAGTGCCACCTGCTTTGAATGTTCAGAGCTCAAAACCAGCAGGAGCTTGAAGCTTAACTTGACCTGAGATGTGAAAGCTGCACTCGAGAGGAGAATGCATCTAACATGGATAGTGATGCAGATATGGAACTTGGCTACTGAATTTAATTATAATAGTATATTATATATCATCTCAAACAACATAGACTTGTAAATTGTAATGTTTTTGGCCCCTACCTATCGATTGAAGCCCAATAACAATTGTTGACCACTGGATTCGAATATTTGGCATGAGCCAAACAGAACCAAACAGCACGATTTTATTGGCACAGTTGCCACTCCCTATAAGGCTCACTACTCATACCTGTGTCCAAAATTTTAAATAAATAATAAAAAATAAGGAAGGAAGAGAAAAAAAGGGAAGAAAAAGAGGATGATATGGATTACCAAGGAATAGTTTGAGCTGATATTCAGGTAGCCTTTGCGAGCTGGAGAGCTTGTGCGAACTCAGACAACAGGATGATGATTGATTCTGTTTGGCAACAGCTCTGATCATCATAGCCACCGAAGTAGTGAGATATTCACTACCGAGTTCACTACTTCAGGAGGTACCTTCCACTTGCTCCCTTGTGCTAAAAAAATTCAAGTTTACTTTCTATACCTATATCAACACATATGCAAACTTTTATGCCTTTCCATCGCATATTGAGCAATACAGGTCAGTTTTCACTACTGAATCACATGTGCGGCGCTTAGATAATTCATAAATCACATGGCTCTTCATCAATGTTCATCCGTGCTCACTGACCTTCAACGTCTCCCAGCCTCACCACATCCAAGTCTCTCAAACAGCAAAGGAACCTGGTATCAAAGGTAAGTAACATGGTTTTTCATCTCATTGCCCAATATGATGAATGCTCCACAGTAAACAACCAAAGCGGCGGTCAGGCATACTGACTGCCGCCTCTGAGCAATCTCACCACACACACAGCCCTTGCCACCCCCAAATTTCCTCGTTCAAACCACTTTGGCCATGTCGATCTAACGGCATCGACTCACCGCAACAACTGAGGTGGCAGTCAGTGCAACTGACCGCCACCTCTGACCCCACACACAGCTCTTCTCTGCCCTCCCCATTCTCAAATCACCTTGTTTCAATCACTTCGACCATTTTGGACATCAACACATGATCTCATGGCACCAAACGACCACATACTGCTCCCCTCCCCATCTCCACACTGCAAGCATGCTGGCGTTCTGCTCCCACCGCCTCTCTCTCTTTCTTTTCTCAGCTCCATATCCCCTCCCACCCCTGAACATGAAAAAGCGGCCATCGTGCCTCTCCATTCGCCATTGCCACCCCCATTTCAGGCTCCCTCGCAGCGAGGCAGGACACATGGCTGAGTGGGTGTGAACGTGGGCCCCAGTGGCCATCATTTACATGTGCCATCCGCTCCTCAGTCTCCGTCCCTGCCATCCTTGATCCACCAGCTCACTGCGCAGGGCCCCCTATCAACTGAGCACCCATGAACGGAAATGGTGCAACTCAAACAAGTGGCCGCCACTCACACCAACTCCCCCAACCTTCGTTTTCGCGTTGACGTAGGCCCAAGTGGCCATCATTTAGATGCGCCATCCACTCCTCGGGCCCCGTCCCCGCCATTCTCATCTGCCAGCTCACTGCGCTGGGCCCACTATCGTCTGAGTGCCCATTTGCGAAGACAGGGCAACTGAGTGAGTGGCCACCACCCATACCAACTCCCTGAACCTTCGTTTTCTGACATGCACAACTGTATCCCCCACCCTATCTCCCCTGTCCTGTCCAATGCCAATGCCTCACATCTGTGGCACCCATTTCCGCAAGCGGTGTGCTTGACTGCGAGCGTGAACGCAAGTAGGCATTCTGCCTGCTTTTCTTTCTTGTTATTTCGCTATTGTTTAATTTGGGTATGTTACATCAATTCCATATGAAGCATATACATTTACTGACTACCATCTAACTATTAGGACATTTCTTCTTCCGGTTCCTACTATCCCTTCCCTCACATTCAGTACTTCCACAATCCCTGCATGAATTTCGGCACCTGGCTTTCCCTCTATTTCCAGCACACCCCTCTCCCATCCTACATTTGGCACATTGATGATGTGCTCGCTTTTGTGACACCTCTCTTTCATCATCATCAACTCCCATTGGCTCGGCAGGTCTTTTCTGCACTGCCACAAAGGGTTGACTGGCACCTGCCAATTGTATCCGAGAGCTTGTCCCCACTGGTTCCTCTTCACTGGTTACATCTTCACTTCTGAGGCCCGCTGTTGGTAAAGGACAGTTTGAGGTAGGGTATTGTGGTACAGGTGGGGCATGAGTAAGATGTGCAGGGTTTCGAATTATATTGTCAATGTCTTTTCTTGCATTGTATGTACTTATTCAAGTATGCTTTGCATTGAGTGAATTTGCCCATACTGTGTAATAAGATTTCAAGTGTTCTATGAGCTGGATGATGACATGAGTGTTATTGAACTTGAAAAAAAAAAAGAAAAATAACCTTGTAGAAAATAGTCTTCCCATTTGAAAATTCATTCCATTTGTGAACAGCAGATGGCCAGTCAGGACCACCTTCTTTCATAAAGACTGGCTTATTCCACATAAATCTAGAGAAGAGATTTTTCTCTTCTGTAGTATGAACAGTTAGGACAGCATATTGTGTATCTTGCTTTGATGCAAGGTATGCATATTGCTCTGGCTTGAGTTGTGAATCATATTTCAAAATTCCGCTGGCAACTTTTACAGGATCTGGAACAGGCAAAATTCCAAATACTTCAGTTGTTTGAATGTAAAGATCACCATTTACCCATTGTGCAACTGGCTGTGACCTTGGAATCAATTGTTGGATCCTTTCTGAGTTGAGTAAGGACTGCCGTTCATTGATTAACCAAATATCAAAGTGGCCTTTATAGTGCTGGCCAGTAGTATTATAGGTGCCAACCAGCATATTATGCCGAAATACAAAATCTTTCAGTCAATTGGCAGTATGACGAGGAGAAACACCTGAATATGGCATGCTCTTGCGAATAGGGCGATGAACTGCACCCTCAGTAAAATTGGTTCCATGCCAGCATCAATAGATTGGAAGGCCATTTCTTGCCATGCCAAGGCAGTAGTATAATGGTATCCCAGGAGGATCAGATATTTGGCCAAGTTTAATAATCTCGAGAATGTTCTTCACTGTTTTCCAAGTATTGGAACTAAACAGGGGTAAACCTGATTGTGCATCTTTTAAAGGTCCATAGACCTGAACTACCTTGGAAACCAGATCATAAAGCTGTTCTGGAGGAGGAACAACATGTTTGCAATGTCTCTTTATAAATTGAGGATTGGATTGCAAACATTCTCCCCATGTCATAGGTGGGTCTTGGCTTGCAAGATATGAGACAATGCATCTTTTATCCTCAGCATCAGGAAGAAATATTGCATCACGCAAAGCTCAAGAAAAGGTTACATGGAGACCATGGGACTTGGGTATATATATCATATGAAAGACATGGAAAATATCTTTCAATACACCACTGTGAATAGCAGGTGCCCAAGGAACTTCTGTAAGGTCATGAAGAATTTTGACATATGCATCTGCTGCATTGCGATCAACTTCTTCAGCAGAAAAGTTTGCTGTTTGATGAGTAGCAGGAACAGCATTTGCTTCACAGAAATTAATATTGAGACTTTGGAAATCTGTTAGAGGAGACGTCTCGTGACCTTCATTGTATACGCGTATGTTTTTATTATTTCTTTCCAGTCCTTTTATTTCCCTTTTCTCTCATTCACATTTACCTCCGTTATTTACTAGTCTTTACCTCAAGCCACAAATCCTTCCCTTTATATACGAAACCTTATTTCTGTCTCACCTCAGTCGTTCCTCACTTTACGGTGACTGACGTCTGAGGTGAGTACTTTCTACGATACATTATCATTATCTACATTATTGACTTCCTGTAGTTTTATTTGCTTCTACAGGTAGTCTATCTAATCTCAGTCGTTCCTCACTTTACGGTGACTGACGTCTGAGTTTTATTTGCTTCTACAGGTTATGGGCCCCGCTGCGCTCACCTATGAAATGAGAATTCAGTCACAACTACCTTGGGCTCTGCAACTCGCCCCCACATTCTCATTTTGAGAACACCCTCACGGTCCATTCAAATTTTGCTGCAGCCTTGTAGCTGGCATCTACATCCAACACATACGGCTCACTTCACTTTCTGACCTCACACACAACTTCCGCTGCAGCTTGAAGCTGGCGACGACATTCGACACACATGGCCCTACATTACTGCCCGGCCTCACATGCTCTTCACCGCACTTTACTTTGGTGACACACAAGATCGCACTTTTCCTCCCGACTTCACATATACTTCGCCATACTTCACTTTGCGGTCACATATATTCCACCATATCCTCAGCCATGCATTTACGTCCACACTATGCAATAATTTTGTGCATGCCAGAAGTGCCAGTGCTTCACCCCACTACTCTACGACGATCATGAACCCGCCCGCACATGGCACACCACCAGGTCCACGCCCCACACCAACCATTCACAAAAGGTTCCCTACTACATCACGACATTCTCGTCTTGCAGCCCCACCATTTCTTTCCAACCCCTAAAGCCCCCATGCCAATCGGAACCCAGAGCCATAGTCTATGTATACTGCATACCAAGAGATTTCGTCAGGCGGGTGTACACAAGATACATACGATGGGTGACTTACTAGCTCCCCGTCAATCATCCTATGCATTGGCCATGATATTCTCCAACTCATTACTTTCACCTCACCCGAGATTGCAGATGTCGAGGAAAGCCAAGTCTCAAGAGAGGGAGCATTTTTGATCTGGAATGTACCTGGACCGATGATTAAGGAGCAAGGCTGCCGGGCATCGGGAAACACATGAAACCCCGGCAACTGCCCCTGAGCCTTCACAAACACTATTTCCTGATGTCCGCTCAGCCCCTAACGACTTGCCGCCCGATGCGACTGTGGTCGACGAGGGGGAGATACCTTCACCCACATTAGCGATGCCCATACACACCATATTTGTACTCACATGAATGCTTTGTGTCGTCGCCCACACTCGCTTCGCCCAAAACCCTGCCCTAGTCCTACAGCAAGAGAGCGTGCCGTGTATTGTCAGAGGATTATCAGACGGCCGCTGGGGGATCAGAGGATCATCATGATGTCCACGGATGCACGGGGGAGGTACTTGTACTCACAGAGTCAATGTGCAACCCATTCCACCTACCACGCCCATCTTCACCAATCAGAATTCCCAACACACACATCTGTCGTGTCTGAACTTACACCACCGCCGTTTAGCTTCCCATCGCACGATCAACGCTCAGCGCTCAGCTCCTGTACTCACTCCACCACCCGAGCTAAGACACCAGACGTCCCCTTCTGCGCGTCAATGTTTCCTGCCATTGTCAGCTGGACGCTAATCAGATATTGAGAGAGTATCGCGCGGCACGGACCCAAGCTCACCTGTTCACGGCTTCCATCTACCCCGTCGCCCCAGTCCCGTCCATTTGCGACACCAACCGATGCCGCCGTTGGCTCCTCGACCTCCATCACTATCACCTGGAACATCATTTGCCAAAAACGACACAACTAGCAGCTGCTTATCGTTCGCCGCTACTTCCCCACCTAATGCCGTGAATGTCCTCGATGTGGGATGGCTCACTACAACGAGCACATTGCGCTGTGCGGTCAACTGCGCATCGAAGTCCGCAGTAGGCAACCGTTGTGGAAGAGAGAAGTTACAACTTCGTATTGACGTAAATGGTCTCGGAGATACCTCGGACCTATCACGCGCACACTGTTCAAAGTTCAAACGTTCACCGCCACCGTATTCTACCCGCCGGCGACTCACTCCAGTGTCCATGCCAAATTCCAATACCTCCCAACTCCACGCCAATGCTCAGCGAAGGACACTACATTCATATCCTCCAAAGATGTCACTTCTTTTATAACATCCCTTCCATACGTACTTTTCAGTTCCAACGTTAACGCCTCAGTCACCTCTTCGACAATGGAACCAAGGACCCGTTCTACCACCACGGGGGAGGTAGTCTTGGTGGTGGGACGAACGGAGGATAACACCTCGTATAGAACATTTCAAATACGAAATTGGGGGGAGCTCATTTGCGTCTTGAAGGATCTGGGGGAGATCAACACTTTTCTCAATGTCAGGGTGAACGTGGCAGAGATCAGTGGTCACCCTCGCTCGCACAAATGCCATTTTATCACTTTTCCAAACCCTCCTACACCTTCCACTTCCCTCCTACACATTCCACTTCCCGACTTTGCACAAACCTCCTCAACATCCCAACTCATAATCCGCCAAACCGCAGCAGCAGGCAGCATAACAATAGCCCATCCTCCTCAACCGACCACCTCATTCTAGAAAATCGCCGTTTCAAACCTCACAACCTTTGCGCGCCAACACACCTCACCATCTCTGCCATATGTAATAACGGGAACACGTATCCTGTGGGATTGACAGATAGGATTATACTCGGAACGGCGACTCCAAGTGTGGTGTGGTGTGGGACGTGTATTCATACCAGCAGGCGCACACCAATAGCTTGCGCAGGCGACGTACATGTTGAATACCGGGGCCCGTAGGCACCGAGCCGTGGGGGTATCCCGCCGAATGTACAGGCCTTTTGATGGTATCGTCCCATCTGGCGCTCGAAATTCCTGCATCCCATCGTTTCTATTACCCAAGGACTCTCATCTCGCGATATTTTCGTTTCCTCCATCGGCACTATGATTCCCTACTCACTTTATCCCAACACGGCCACTTGTATGGTCCACCCCCGACATCACATAATCCTCCACCCTACGACCTTGATCTTCCTCTCCTCCGCTAACCCAATCACGTTACATATGAAGTACAGAAAATCAACGACACCATATTCTCTTTGATCCCTTTAACCCATTAAATCACTGGTCTCTGCAGCAGTCATCGCAAACCCCTCTATCCGACTTCCGTCGTTGACAGTGCATTCCAACGCAGGCCCGAGGGCTTAGACTTTCATCACCCACCTAACTCGGTTTTCATCACCAGCCCCACTCTACGTTCAATGCAAAGTTCAGTTATCACCAGAATCAGAGAGATCAGTTCAACGTGTCGTCAGTGCATCTAAAAATCACTCTCGTCAATCAACGTATTACCCCGGAACATCATCCTCTCCCTGCCGCTATATACTGCCGCCCACTCATCAAAACGTTGCCGACGCACTCAAGCTGGAGTCCTTCAGGTCTCTCGTCGTCTGGGGGAGTGTTAGAGGAGACGTCTCGTGACCTTCATTGTATACGCGTATGTTTTTATTATTTCTTTCCAGTCCTTTTATTTCCCTTTTCTCTCATTCACATTTACCTCCGTTATTTACTAGTCTTTACCTCAAGCCACAAATCCTTCCCTTTATATACGAAACCTTATTTCTGTCTCACCTCAGTCGTTCCTCACTTTACGGTGACTGACGTCTGAGGTGAGTACTTTCTACGATACATTATCATTATCTACATTATTGACTTCCTGTAGTTTTATTTGCTTCTACAGGTAGTCTATCTAATCTCAGTCGTTCCTCACTTTACGGTGACTGACGTCTGAGTTTTATTTGCTTCTACAAAATCTGGATTGTCTGTCTGAAATACAAAATTGGAGTCCATTTCCAGTTCTGCTAAAGGATCAATGTCTGACACATTACTAGAAGAATCAGAGGCATTGGGAATTGGTATGGTATTGCCATGTTGAGCAGGGATGAATTCTGGGACAAATGTCTTGACTTGGCTTCTTCTGCAGACCATATTAAATGGTGTTTGACCAAATAACGAAAGAGGTTGCTCGTGGTGCAAATGTATTTTAGCACCAGGAACATAGATCTCTTCAACCTGAATGAGTACTTGTGTTTTCGTAATATTAATCCCTTCAAAGCTATTGAATTGAGCAGGTGAGATAATTCCACGAGCAATAATAGTAGTGCGATCTTCATGAAAAACAAAAATCTGATCTCCTGCAGGAAGTGCATTTGCAAACTTTACAGGAACTGGGATCCGCAGACTAGTTAGCTTCTCATAAATTTTAAGAGAAGCCCAAGCATCAAGTGCAGCATATTGGATTTGTTCATCTGTAAGTGGGCCAGACCAATCTGGACTAATTCAGATATTGAGATCCTTGGGAAGAATACAAGAAAGTGTTTTGATGCATAAGTCTCCCAGACTAGCACGTGCATCACTAACAACATTTTTCTCTTTTGCTAGTCATCCTAGATCAATACCTCCAACAAATGGAGTAGAGGATTCACTATCTTCTTGCAGATTTTTCAAGTCCAATGAAACATTTCTTCCAACTTTGAGAATTTGAGAATTTGCCAAAAATGTTGACAATTGAGCAGGAAATGATCCATTAGCAATATGTTCACTCAACTGTATAACATTGTCAATGCATAATCTGCATTTCTGTAAATTTACTGTACTAACCTGAAATATCCATACTTCATTACCATAAGCAATCTGCATGATTGCAGTTTTTTGACGATCAGGTACACCTTGTCTTTGTGCTGATAGATCAACATCCCATTCAGTATCTAGGCCAACAACCAGTTTGTCCCCATCAAGATGTGAAAAGGTGTCAATGAAGCTAAGGATTGCTGAATTAATTTGTGTAGCTGTTTGAAAAACTTTAGGGATACATCCAGAGGGAAGTTGCAAGACAGGTAGGTCACCAAGACTGTTGACAGGTCATACTCCTTCTTTAAGGCTGGGGAAGTGTCGTTCAAGCATTGGCTTGTCTGCCAGATTGTCTGTGAAGATTATGCAAGGAGGTTCAAGACCAAACAGTTTAATAGAATGATTCATCTGTGTAAGTGCAATATCAAACTGAGAGTGGGCTTTCGTTGGAACAAGATCACAGATTCGTATTTCACCAAATTCATTAGTCATAGTAAGAAGGCCTGTGAAAACAGGTTCACCCTGGATCTTTGCAATTTGTTTGGTAATCTAGAAAGCAAATGTAAGAAACTGAGAAAAAAAAGTAGAGAAATCTAACCTTGTGTGAATGGTCAATACCCATACCACAAGATGATAATTGAGCAGTATGTTGATCAAACTCCTTTTCGTGAGCTTCAATTTCTTTATCATAAATATCCCGACAGTATTGGCCAGAGGGTGCAGCACTTGGACTGGACTCAAAGGAAAGAAAAGGCTTGTATAATCCACTCTCACGTTCAAGAACAGTTTGCAAATACTGAACTTCCAGCATATCATGAAATCGGTGGTGAAGAACATTTAGGCTATCTGCAAATTGTTTGGCTCCCAAGCTATTTTGAAAGCAGCAACACATGATAGCAAAAACCTGCTTTGAGAGACCACTTCGTTTACTAAGGTAGGCAGGGAATTGTGCAGCAAGAGGCCTAGGTAGCTTGGCTATGACTAAAGGATTGCAGCTTGAGAAAGCGTGGACAGGCTTGCACTGATTGCATCTATAGCGCACGGAAATCAGATAGTATGAATTCTCAAGATCAATTATGCGGTGTGGCATCTGACAATAACCATGGCAAACCAATATCCCAGAACAAGCAATAGTACTTGTACCAGATGTATGAATAACTGGGCAAGGGATGCAATCAACAAGAAGCAAGGGATCCCAATAGAAAAATCGAGGGATCAAAAGCTGCTCTGGAGACAAAGTTTTTTGCCGAAGATAGAAGAAAGAGTCAAAATGAGGCAACCAGAATGACTGAAGCTTCTCATAAACCAAGTGTTTGGCTGATCGCCCTTGACCTTCTGTCAAACCCTTGAGATACTCAATTTTTTTCCAGAATGCATCCAAGACCAGTGATGGCAGTTGCCCAGAAGTTTCACCATCATCCTCAGTAAAGTCTCCCTCAGCACTTGCAGCATCACCATTAATCCCATTGCTGTTGCCTAGTCCAAGAAAACTGTCCAAATCATCCTCACCTGGTGAGTCATCCAATTGCTGTAAAGGATCATGTGCAGGAAGAACAAAAGTCTCAACTTCTTCATGATATGTTGGCTCTGATATTGGGTTTTGGTCTGATGGAAGAGAAACTGGCACCTGATCTGGGACTGCTGCAACTGCTTGAGGAAGAAAAATAGGAGCAAGTGGCTGATGCATATTTATCCCAGGTTCCATATGCACAGGGCCATCCTAAAAGTATTAGAGTAGTTTATAAATAGGCAAAAATGCAATATTATTTACATACCACTGTCTGAACCTGTGTTATTGACCTCACAGCCTGTTTCCGAGGTCTTCCAGGCCCTCGATGAATTTCTGTAGTGCTTGGATTATTGTTAGTAACTGAAGTTGTGGCACTGTGCTTGTTTTTTGACCCTTTCAGACAGCCATGACCACATTTGCTAGTTGTAATTTGTACTTCTGTATTTTCAGCAGGGCGTTGACTGACCAAATGAGGTAAATAAGACAATACAGTAAATACCAAAAGGACTTACTTGTCATTGAGAGGCTGGTTTGGAGCTTGCAAGTTCATGGTATCTGTGTTTTCGGGCTCCTCCATCATTCTATTGTAAGATTTTCGAGGATTATCAATGCTAGACAAGCAGACACGCAGTGTTGACATTGGATAATTGAAAAATAAAGTCGAAGTACATTTAAACTCACAATATATGCAGTTACAAGATGCTAGTGTTTGAAAGTCCGGTCCGGTTATTGAGCCCTCAAGGGCTCTAACCGAGACCGAGACCGGTTACCTTGTGCCACGAAACCCAAAATAACCGAACCGGACTGCTACTAACCGAACCGGACTGCTACTAACCGATATAATCGGTTAGTAACGGTTAGTGGTCGGTTACATGACCGGTCCTAACCGGTTATTTCTCTGTACTAACATAATTACAAATCTATATTATATTTCTAATACAAGCATTATGCTGCATGCACCAGCGAGGCGTGTGTAGGTGAAACACCGCCTCGCACGATTTTCATAAACAACCTCGCAGGTCGAGTACACCCGACCTGCGAGCGTTTCTCATGGATCGCCATTGTTGTATCAATGTCACATTATCAGACATGTGACAACAGGAAAATAGTCACTTAAATTTCAATTCACCGTAAATATGTCAATTCTCCACTAAAAAATATGATTTTTGGATCGTTAGAAAGCGTTTAAACAGGGGAATATTTGTGTGTAACGTTAGGACACAAAGACCGGTTATAACCGGTCCTAACCGGTTTTTGTTTGGTCTTGAATATTTTGGGATGACACCTAACCACTAACCGGACCGCGGTTACGGTTAGGATCGGTTAGGTAATTTTTGCAGTCCTGATCAGTTACGGTTCGGTCCAGTCTCGGTTATTTTCCGGTTAACTAACCTAACTTCCAAACACTACAAGATACTCAGCTGGCCCAACATGATTATGCATACTGTAGGAAGTACAGATATACAAAGCACTACATGTAGTGCAAGAGGATGGCAAGACTGCTGACAAGATGGTGGTTCAAGACAAAAGATCAATTTATTGTGTAAGATATCCAAATCTAGCTATATACCACTGTTTGACTATGGCCTCTGGGCATTCCCTTCCAATCCTATATCACATTCGAGCTGCAGAGCCTGAGGCTGCAGTTTCAAGTCATGTGTGGCGCGTGGCATGGTTTGCCGCGCATCGGCATTCCAAATTGGAAGCCCATGTGATCTTTTCAAATTCCGTTCAGTAGTGATCAGTAGTGAAGCACAGGTATGGGTAGCGACCCCCCCATAAGAGTGAATTGATGGAAGTTGATACAGTTGCGGGATGTCACGTGACCTGCTCAACTCACATTTTCGAACTTAGACAATTTCAATTGTTACTACTACTACCACCACAACCCAACAATGCTGCCCATTGCAACACAACACAGGTGCCATGTTCTCACTCATAGTACCCTGTTCAACTGACTTCTGTTCAAGCAGAAGATACTGGTGGGCTTATGACTGTGCCAGCAGAAGCACTATGTTCATGTTTTTGCCATTATGCTAACCTCTGCTCAGGACCTTGCTGTGGCTCATTTCACTTCATCTTGGACTCGTTTAAACACTCCTGCACGCCGCGAAAACGCTCCAGCAAACCGTTTACGAATTCATCAAGTCCTTGTCGAGCTATGTCTGTTTTTATTTTTATGTTTTTGCCATTATGCTAACCCCTTCTCAGGACTTTACTGTGGCTCGTTTTGTTTTATCTTGGGCTTGTTTAAACACTTCTGCATGCTAACCCCTGCTCAGGACCTTACTGTGGCTCATTTTTTTTACATCATAGACTTGTTTGAACACTCCTGCACACCACCACCAACACCATCACCCATTCGATTTGGGATACCATACATGAAGCCCTCAGCATTGGCACATTTGACATGTAGTCTGAAGGATATGATGTATGCTGTGAGAACATAGCCTGGTAAGTTGTTGACAGTGCATTGAGAAGTTTCATGAATGCTTATGGTGATTGGGTACCATCAGCTGGACATTGACAATGCTGCACATTTCAAGAACTTGCCGTTTAGGGAAAGGAGTGGCGAGATGAGCAGGCGCCATAGAGAAAGGGAACAAAAAGGATGGTACATGCCCTAACGTCATGCATGTTTCCCTCTACCTCACCCCTTCCTCTCTCTCTCCATTCCCAGGCTAACAACCCTCACTCCAGTATGCCAAACGTGCTCATCTCTGGCTGGTATAGGTGTTTGGTGGTTTGTGATGCCAAAGGAATGGCCAGCGAAGCACGCCTCTGTGTGTGTCTGGGGAAATACAAGTGATAAGACGGATGACTATGTTGTTGTACATTAGTTAAATACATTTGATATACACTTTATATTCAAATATAGTGTGTTGAGGAAAATTGAGGGCTCATAAGGTCTGCTTCAGGGCTTTCTAAGGACAGCCCAGGCCACCCTAGGACAACCTCAGCACATCTAAGGACAACCTCAGCACATCTCTGGACAACCTCAGGTTGCTCCTGGGAAATCAAAAAAAGGAACCTGTACCTGGGGGCAACCTGATGCCCTGAGTTCCATGACAGCCTCTGGGTATCCATGGTCTACCCTGGATACCCTCAGGGAAGAAGTGATTTTCCTGATGTACCCTGCGCTTCCCCACTAACCAACCCTGAATGATGGCGAAAACACCAATGCCCTCTGCCACAAGGCCACCACTGTGTCCCACTTGACCATGGCCGCCGAGACCACATATTGACACCCAGATGTGCTGAAAGTAGGCTGTCAATGGTGAGGATTCTTGGTGGGTACATTCCAGGGTTGCGAGTTTGCTCCCCCTCTTAGAATTTACATATCACTTTGTATAGTAAGTAGTTTAAGGAATAAAACTTATAATGCCAAATTTTACTTGAGCATGGAGAGGCAGATTTCGACTTAACCACAGAATTTTTCTACACTGTACAGTGTACTGTATAATACTAGCTAATTTGGCTGTCACACATCACATTTTGTGGTGGAATTTGGTATCATGTGGATAAGGTTCGACACACCTTCCTGAATAAGTGACCAACATTTGCCATCAATGTATTGAACATTGGACAGGTGTGTCGTTCTCCATTACGTGTGTTGTGTCTCATTTTTGTGTGTGTGTGTGTCTACTCTTGTCTATCCTGAATTCATTGGGTTACACTTCAGAATTTCCCCATTATTTACGATGCATCAAATGTCGATATATTTGCTACAAGAACTTTGGCTCAATCAAGATCCTCAATGTTACTACATAGGTCGAACTTGGGCATCAAATTTGTGTGCCTCAAGTTCCTCTTTGAGTTCCCTGGCAGCGAGTCTCTTGTTGTCGAGGTCTCGCTTGCGACAGTTCTTATATTTGTTATGGGCACTGTGAATCTTTTTTGCTCCTTTGGCTGACTTTGTTCTGACCTTGATACTGACCTTTGCAATATTCCTGATTTTCACAAGAAAGGATCAGGTGAGCATTCTGACTGAAGTGAAAAGGGGGAGAGAAGTGGATATGAACATCAGGAGTCCAAGAAATGGCTCTTGAGATACAAGGGTCTCTACTTCAGACTTGGACGTGTGCTGGTAAAGATTCTGTTCTGTGGCATCTCATCTGGGACAAGAATATCAATATCACTTGTTTGGAAAGAGGCCAAACAGAATTACTTGTGATAAATATTAGTGGGAATGGCTAAGGCGGGCACAACAACAACAAGGATAACAAAGAACATTGTGGAAATTTTAACCATGGTGATGATGTCAGTGAATCAATATGTGTTGCAGAGAGAGGGGCATTAATGTTTGTGAAAAGGGCAAAAAAGATGGCTTGGATCATAGAAGAAATAAGAGGGTGAGACCAGCTGAAGGCATCAGGATCATGTGCTGACCTTATATCCCATTTTTCCATCAGATATGACACCATTGTCAGAGCCACACTGCCTTCTGGGAGGGGGTTTGGACTGCCTGGGTTTGATGTAATTGAACCAGTAAATCATGTCTGGTGAGGTGGAGCTTAGTTGGAGGAGTGAGGAGTGAGGATAACACAAGGTCCCTTCTTGATGAAAAGGAGTGACATGACAGCTCCAGAGAAGTAGATTATATGAACCATATACCAGTAAACCCCTACAGCCGGCTTGAAAGCTGAGGGTGGGCCCACTTCTCTAAGTGGTCTTTTTTCACTTCTCATGAGGTCCAAAAACAACTTGTTAGCTTTCACATTGAGAAGACTGTGTCACGCGGGAGTGAGGAAAGTGCAATCGGACACGCTGACAAGATGCGTGAACACCTAAACAACACACACACACACACTAACACCTTAAACACTTATCACCATAGGCCACAGGTACGTGCTTGGTGCTTCGATTTCAGGTTCGTACGGTAAATAGAATTACCACACTTGTTTTGTTAGAACTTAAGTAGAAGTTTGGGGAAACAATTTTGTATATTTTATATCACTTGTCTAAGTCTAGTAGACCTTTTGGAACAAATGGTATTGTTTTTACATGTGGGCACAAGTATAGGATTCGAAACTTAATAGTCTTCGAGGGGAAACGGCTTTTATTGGGACTACCTCGGTATTCTGGGATTGTGTTCTAACTGTATACGGAGAAATGACAAGGAAATTGTGCTTTGTAGACTTTTATAACTCCCTCAAGCTTTTATTATGCCTCTGATTCGATCCAAACTAGTCTTAAAGACTCTTCAAGCACACTCACTTGGATTCCTCGGTAATAGTAGGAGCTCTCTTACTAATTGACAAGACAACCTTACAAAAGCTTAGTGATCCCCACTTAACATGCTGGTTCCGGGCACACATTACTTAACATGTCTGTGCATCATCCGAGAGGTCGGACGAATTAATATTGGTTTTTAGTAAAGGTTTGAAGTGGCTCAGTTGTGTGTGGCACAGCTGAGCTGACTTCTTTTAAGTTTTCGTAGTGTTTCCTCTATTGTGGCGACATGACACATCAGTATTGATGTGTACGTGGGAATCGCCGTAAATGGTTTTCACGATCAGTTCACCTGAGGCAAACGGTCTGCTTAGTGATTTTCTCTCTATTATTAGATACTGTGCATGGGTCTCAGACCGCACGGCAAATTGTTCATAGTTTTTCTCTCTTGGTATTCTTCAGAATGGTGAGTTTACTTGGATCAATGATGCCATGATTTGTGATGCGTTGATGTGTGTGATGTGTGTGATGCGTCTCACCACATGACTTCTTGGATCATGCTTCGTAGCATGTGACTGAATGACTTCTTGCATCGGGTACACGTCGAGCTTCTATGCTCGTGCGGCTCTCTTCGAATTAATATCTTTTTAATCCATGGTAAAATGAGACCCTGGTTTGGTGTAAACTCCAACACCCTGTGCTGAGGTGTTTTTACTCTAGGACACTCTGTAGTGTACTATTTCATGGTAGTGTAGCCGTTTATTAGACTTCAAGTATGTTGAAGTGATTCGATCACGAACCGACCGCAATTCCTACTGCCTAAGGCATGCACATTTCTCAGATGTAGACTTTAATCGACTAGACTGGGTTGTGTCTAACGATCCTTATGATTCATGTGACTGTATTTCTACTATAGGAGGTTTTATAGGAGAAATTGCTAAAAATTCGCATTTATATGGGTGTATTCTTACACTCCGTATCAACATGTAATTCTCTCCCAGCTGAACTCATGATACTGTCACAGAGCAACACTTGGGAACCTCCTGTCGATAGAGCTGAAATCACCACATAATTATTGTGAAAAGCACCAAGCGAGGGCCAGCTGCCAAATGAAGGGGTTTGAACAGCAGGAGTACCCTGTGTTGAGAGCAATACTTTACCATCCCCCACATAATCCACATGGACTCCACTGGATTCCACTGGATTCCACTGGACTTCACTACATACTGGCAATATTCACAAATCTGGACTCCACTGGACTCCCAGCACACAACTGGACTGGACTGGACTGGACTGGACTGAACTTAGATTTCAAAAGAAAAAAGACAATTGAAGTATATTTGTTAATTAAATAAATTACTTTTACTACATTCTATGTTACAGAGAGGGGGA